GAATCTTGTTTCTCCAAGAAAACAACAAAGAAAGGATGGCTTCCTGTGTCAAATCCCTGGGAGGTGTAGGACGCAAGAAATGTTCTGCTCCTTGTCTCACAGAGCCCATGGGGAACCAGAGAAATCCCAAGCCTAATGTTTCCAGGGAGCAGCATTACAACGCTGGAACAAATATCAAAGGAAGATGTGATTGGCGAAGTGGAAAAACAGTGACTTTAGAGTTGAGGGATTCAGGTGCGAGTTTCAGTTTTGTCATTGATTTGCTATGTGACCTCCGGCAGGCACCATCCCATTCTGGCCCTGTTTCACCACCTATAATTTGGAGGAAAGAAGACAAGATGCTCTCTAAACACTCTTCCAGCATCAGCTCTGACTGGGGTCCTAGGTCCCCCCATGTTGTCCCTGGACAATACCTCCAGCCTTGCCTCTGTGCTAGCAAAGCCTGGGAGGGAGTGAGAGGGTGTCTTTCAGCCATGTTTTCTTGCCACTTAAACTCAGATTTACTAAGTGACTTGTCCACACTTCTCTGGAAGTGACAGCTAATGGATAAGGAGTTCCTAAGGTACCTTGTCCAGATCTGACCAGGGAAATCAGGGGGAAGGACAATCTCCAGATTGCTCTGGGCTGACGTTGCTGCTACAGGATGATGTTAATTCTGCTGTTTACAGAAATAAGTCCAGTGTGAGGCTTTTTGGTGTTTAAACCAGATGGTACTTCCTGCCTTGATCAGCCTCAGAGCTTTGGTTCCCATGACAACCCCAAAGTTCCACCTACTGCAACTTCCCTATTCTCCAAGTTTCATCCTTTTTCACCATTGTGCCAGGGTCTCTGGAGATAAAGCCACTAACCAGCATATGCATGGCACTTTACAGTTTACAACACCTCCCAGCATTTATTACCTCATTTACTCCTCACCACAGCCTTGCCAGATAGCTTTTGCTATTCCCTCCATTTCACAGATGGGAAAACCAAAGCCTCAGAGGTGAGGTGATTTGCCCTCTCAGCCTTCAGTGGTGTCAACAGGACTCAAACCCAGGTTTTGTGACTTTGGACCCCACATGGGGTCCACTGTGCCACTGTGCCCTGCCCTGCAGGCCACCCACTCACTGAGGATCCCTAAGTGGTAAGTATCATACACATATGGGTCTAGATCAAGGTGTGGCATCCTTAGACAAATTATTTAATTTCTTGTGCTTTACTTTCTTCATCTGTATAATGAGTGGTAATAGTGGTTACCTCCACATGGATGGGAGGATTGAATTAGCATGTATGTAAAACCACAGTAAGCGCTTGCTGAGAAGCCTGGGTGAGTCTCGATTCTACTTTAACCATCCTGGGATCCTGGGTGGGACATTTTGCTTGTTGGTGCCTGCTTCCCCCTCTGTATAAGAGGTGACAGCATTATTGTGCTCATATGGATGTCATGTGTGATGAGATTAATGCAAGGAAGGTGCCTTGGAGGGGACTCTCACACTGCAGTGTGCAACCTTGTGAAGATGCAGATCCTGGCTCAGGAAGGCATTTCTTTACTTTTTAAAAAAATTTTATGTAATTAATTTTTAAAAATAGAAGTTCTGGGGATTGAACATAGGACCTTGTGCATGGGAAGCACTCTAACACTCAGTTATACCCTCCCCCTAGAAAGGCATTTCTTACAAGTGTCCAGGGAATGCCAAAGCTCCTGGTCCATGGACCACTCTTTTGAGAACCAAGGCTGTGGTTAGGAAAGCAACATTTAAGTGTTACTAAGGACCAGTAACGCAGAGTGCCATGTCCATAGGCCTCCAGTTACACGCTTAGCTGAAAGTTCAAGAAACTTGGAAAGCCCACTGGGAGTGTCAGCAGAAGCCCATTTGGAGGGTTTTTCTGGGTGAGATATTTCTGTCAGAAGGTCTCCTTAGACCCCCAGCCCCAGGCTCCATGCATCCCGGAACTCCCACGGGGCTCTGGTGAAAGCTATACCTGATCTTGGGGCTCAACAACAGAGGATTAAAAATGCCAATGTGTTACATCTTCTACATCAAGATATACTCATTGATAATGACTTGTGCAGTTCTTTAAAAAATAAAAATAAACCTTTTAAGTGAAAAAAAAGTGTGATCCAGGAATGCTAAGTGATCTATGTTCAAGTGCATGACAGAAAGTGGATCAAAGTACAGCTGTTCCATGGGTCTAAAGAACACAGTTTGCTTTTTTCTCCAATTCTTTCTTTGCTCTGTATTCTTTCTTATGCGATTGTGGGTTGTAAACTGAGTTACGTTTGTTAAGTTCATTGCTATGCAATAAACAAATATTTTCCGTTCATTCTGGCAATTCAATTGGCCGGTGTGTCCCTGGCCCTATTGCGGGTCGGTAACCCAGCTCCTCTGACTGCTATCAGCTCAAGGTTCATGAATGCGGCTGCCCTGAGTTGTGGCCCCAGCAGAGTACACCATTTCTGGAACCCTGGCCAGTAAGGAAGAGTTCATGTGGTTCTGAGTTCTAAGGAACCGGGAGAGGAAATGAGCCATTAGAAGCGTCTGTTGCCCCAGGGCACTTAATCTGTGCCAGGCACAGTGCCGGGCACTTGATTAGCATTATCTCAGTTAACCTTCCCCTGCCTTGTGAGCCAGGATTGTTATCGCCCCAGTTGAGCATAAGCTCTGCGAAGACAGGGACTTTGCTTTGCCCCCTGGCGTATCCTCAGTGCCTACCTCAGTGCTCCGTCAGCGTCCGTCTGCGGAATGAGTGTGTCAACCCTCATTGCGACAACAAAGAAGCAGAGTTAGCTTACCTGAGAAAGGCTGTCACCTCGCATGCGAGTCTGCACTCCAGGTGGCCCGAAGGACATTCCCTCGGAGAATTTCGTTTGACTCAGGCTCTCGGCCACCGTCCTTCATGAGGAGCTAGTAAAATCAGTTTGCCCTGAGGCCACCTCACCGAGGAAGCCACCTCACAGAAGCTGCAAGAACACTGGTGTGCAGTCTTCAGTTCTTGGTCCTTCTCTGTGGCTGAAGTTCCTCTCCACACACTCACAGCCTCACTATTTATAAAGCCCGGGCTGGCAGGCTGGGTTCCCGGGAGAAGACGGTGAGTGGAGACTGGCCTGCAGCATGGAGTTCAGGCACAGGTCTTGGGACGGACACCTGTGGCGGGCAGAGAAGGGGTACCCGGCGAGGGAGGCCGGCGCTTCGCCGGAAGTGCGGGGGCTGGTGGCGGAAGTGGGCGCGAGTGGGCGTGGGGGAGGGGCGGGGCCCCTCCGTGGAGCGAGCTCCCCGGGAAGCGCTTCGGCAGACTCTCATCTGTGACTTTAAGGGAGTGTTTCTGATTGTGGTGAAAGTGGAGACAATTATCCTGTTGAAAGAGCTGCGAGCAAGTGAAGCGGAGAGGCCCTGAGGCGCGTGGAGACAGGGAATAAGAGAGGAGTGGCGGGAGGGCAGGGAGCCCGGGAGGCTTCCCGCGGCCACCTTCCAACCCAGCTTGCGTCTCCCAGAGCTGGGACAAGGGCGGCCTCACCACATTCCTGAGCCTTTTTTGTGCGGCTCTCTGAATTGAGACCCGCAGTCCATCTAGACCCCTCTGATGAGGGGCACAAAGCTGTGTGTACATATGGGTATGAGAGGGACAGGAGAGAAGGAGACCCTACCGTGGAGAGTATCCTTCACCCTGAAGGACAAGGTCGAGAGGGGAACACTGACAGGAGAAGGGCTCCCCTGGCTCCAGCCAGGTCAAGAGCTCCCCTCTTTTCTTCCTTATTTTAAATTATGATAAAATTATATAACATAAAACTTACCATTTTAAGCATTTTGAAGTGTACAATTCAGTGGCATTAAGTACATCACACTATTGTACAACCATCACCATTATCCAGTTCCAGAACTTTTTCATAACCGCAAAAGAAATCGCCTATCCATTAAGCCGTGGCTCCTCACTTCCTCAGTCCCCAACCCCCAGCTTATTCTGTACATTCATATAAATCGAATCACATAATACATGGTCTTTTGTGTCAGACTTCTATTCGGCACAATGTTTTCAAGGTTCATCCATGTTGTAGCGTGGATCAGTACTTCCATGACCGAATAACATTCCATTGTGTGGTAATACCAGATTTTGTTTATCCATTCATCTGTTGATGGCCATCTGGATTATTTCCATCTTGTGGCTATTGTGAATAGTGCTGCTACGAATATCTGCATTAAGTTTTTATTTGAATACCTATTTTCAGTTCTTTTGGGTATATTACCTAGGAGAGAATTGCTGGATCAGATGGTAATTTGATGTTTAACTCATTGGGGAACTACTCCCCCCTTCTTTTTATAAATTTTCACAGACTCATGTGGCTGGGACCTCAAAAGTGACCCAGAGCAGTGCTTCTCTGACTTTTGGATTGCACATATCTGTAGGACTAAAACTACCATTACCTACCCCCACCCTGCCAAAGTAACAGGGACTTGTGTCAGGATCAAGGCCAACCCCGTAAAAGGAATATATTTAGTGTCAGGTAAACTTATTGCTTTGAACTTGTTTTTGTTTTGTTTTTTGGATCCCCTCCACCATTGGGTCATTTGGGAACCATCTGCCTGGTCCAGTCTTCATCCAAAGTCTGAGTTTCCCTCTCTAGATGCCCCCGGCTTGACCAGCCTCTGCAGGCCCACCTGGGGGACACCCTATCTTCCAGGTAGCCCTGGTCCCTGAAATGTTTTTCCTCATGGAGAGCTGACCCTACTCCTACAGTCCCCCAGTATCTTTGCTCCCCACTGTGGGGCCCCACAGACCTTGGCCCCATTCCACCTGCTTCAGGACTGGAACCCACACTACCTTCTGCTTCTTGAATGCTCTGTAGGACTGATCATAGCCAATGTGAGATACTGAGAGCAGAAGAGGTGGAAATAAGGCAGTTCCCTGACTTGTAAGGATTCTTAGAAGAAACAAAGAGAAATCTTCAAGATTTCTTCAATATATAGTGTATATATTACAATATTTCATAAGTGCCTCCCCCACAAAAAATTGTGAACAAGCCATACAGACTAACAAGGTTTTATTTGTTTTGCTGTTGGCTGGGCTTATCCCAATTCAACATTTCTCTCTGTGCTGAAAGGCCAGCAAGACAGCATAGAGAGAATGTGGACTCTTGATGAGAGTGAGAGGTGAGGCTGGCATTCAAACTGACCATCCCCTGTTACAGAGTGACCTTGGTGATGTTAATATCTGTGTGCGACACTCACCAAGTTGATAGAAAGGGGGTTTTAAGGCTGCCTCACAGGAGGAGCCAGGCAACAGAAGCTTCCAGCACACCATAGGCACTTACCACCTGTAATAGTTCTCATTGGAAGAAATCTGAGCAGCATTTTATACCTCAATGAGCAAAATCAAAGTCAGAAGACAAATTCACCATTATTTAATACACATTTGGCAAACAAAAGCCCTTCAAAGAATCAAGTCCCTGTACTGAAATAACAATAAAATAATAATAGAAAGAAGTGTTGGATGGTGAGGAAAAGGGAAACACTGTAGGGCTGAAACAAAGAGGCAACCTGGTCTCTTAACAAAGGGTACAGTGGCCCCACTGAGGCCTTAGGGTGAGGCCAAACCCTACCCCAGCCACCTGGAGGTGGGAACTAGGTCTCTTGGAAGAGGACAGCTACGCCCTGTGTCTATGAGCCTAGGGATGCAGCTCAGAAGGGAACTGGGAGAGACTTTACACTGATGGGAGCTGGCTCACTCCTCTGGGCAGGGAGGTCCCTGAGGAGGGGGTTAGGAAGGAAGCTAAAGAGGGGACTCACCACCCATCTACCCCAGGGAGGAGATCTGATCCCTGGCCAGTCCTGCAGAATTTGGTAACGACTTTGTCAGGGAGAGCGTCAGGTCTCCTTGCATGTTGAACAGGACCTGCTGGTTAATGGGACTTGATTATCTTGCCTGAAATGGATAATGAAGCACAGATGGTGCTTCACACACGTTCAGTCTGGGCTGCAGAATCTTCCCAGGAAGGGTCCTGGGCCCTAACGAGGTTCTGTCTTGGTAGCACAGGTCAGCATAGATGTCCATGGCTGCCTAGCCCAGGCCTGGCCCACACGGCAGTGTCCTTAGGCAGCTCTGAGGCAAGAGCAAACTGGAGGGGTTTCCCACTTCCTCTCTGCCCCCTGGATCAGCTCCTGCAATCAGGAGCAGGAATGTCTTCCGGTTTCTTCCTGTCCACCTTGCTGGGAACCCCAATGACACAAACACCCAGAGTCAAGCACAGCTGGAGGGTAGGGATCCATCACCATTCCTCACTTCCTCAGGGCTCTGATGCCAGCAGAGCCATCTAAGCTGCTGCCACCTCTGGCTGGAGGCTGCTGCTTTGGGCCTCGCCCACCCAGACATGGCTACATCAGGGGGAGTGGGAGGTAGTGGGTAGGCGAGACAGAAACAGAGAAAGGATTTCAAGCAGGCAACCGTGGAGATTTCTCACATCTGCACAGCACCACGTGGTGCGACAAGGGCTTTCACCTTCATTTGATCCTCAGCACCTTGGGAAGTGTGAGCCCCTTGTAACCAAAAGGGAAACTGAGGCCCAAGGAGTGGAAGAAACACATTACTCATTAAGAAGTGGCTGAGCCAAAACCAGTGCTGGATTGACTCTAGATTCAATACTCTTTCCAGGTAACAGATTGCTTCTATGCGTTTCAAAGAAAAGAATCAAACATTAGAATAACAGGTATCTAACTTACCCCCCAACGACATTTAAGCCACAAAAATTACATGCCACCTGCCTTCACACACACTGTCCCCCAATCTGAGGAGCCCTTTCTCTCCCCCACCTGCCAGCTGTGTGCCAGCTACCTTCTCAGACCCAGTCTCTCCAGCCGGGCCCGTCCAGGCCAAACCTGAGCCATGGACCCAGCACATACCTTTATCAAAAAACTTCTCACGGGCACTACAACATTTGACTTAGTGCTTGTCTCCTCTAAGACATTGTGGATTCCCTGAGGGCAGAGGCAAGTGTTTTTCATCTTGGGATCCAAAGCACAAGCACCATGTGGGCACAGAGTAGATGCTCAGTAAATGTTCAGTAAATGAAAAGGAATTGTCTTCCTTGCAAAACTTGCAGCCTCCATGTAATGGTCTGGCGCTGAAGCAGGGAGGTGGGAGCCTTCCCCTGGCCTGGGGGACAGGACCTAAACACCCAGCACTCGCCAGGCAGGACACTGCACCAACGCTGGGAAACAATGTCTTCGACCCTGCAGGAGACTCCCTGGCACTCTCAAAGTCAGGGGCCTCCCTTACCCCAATGTCCCGCTGCCAAGCAGAGAGCTCCTGGGAAGAAAAGAGAGGTGTTACCAAAGACACCTGACCCAGCTGAAGGCCTCAAGTGCCCTCCCAAGAGCCTCATAACTGTTACTGTCCCAGTCAAAGCAGGGTTTCCCTGACAGCATCCAAGGAACCCATCCTGTAAGAGCGCCATGAAGCATCATTCAAATGTGTGGGGAAAGCTACAAGCTACTAAAGACCCCACCACCACAAACCCCCCCCCAAAGGTCCTGAGGTATCCTACAACAAACACCATGGGCTGGGCTTTAACCCAGTGTCTGCCAAATCTATCTGATCACAAAGTGTCACCCCACTGTCACATATGTACTCCCTCCCTTTATTTTTCTTTATGAAAAATGTATTAACATCCTGTGGAACTAGTGTTCCAAGGAACACACTTTGGGAAATGCTGGTTGTCATCAAGCAAGGGAAACACTATGGACAAGAATAACCACCTGGAGGGTCACCAGGAAAGGGGGAGTGCCAGGGATCTCTCACCAACCAGCACACAAGCTGGCCTAGAACCACTGAGTCCAGTGAAAAAGACAAAAGAAGCATCTGTCCTGAGCCTCAGCTGTCCCATCTGCAAAATGGGAATAGTATGCCCTGCTGTCGGGGATCATCAGATGAGATCGTGGAAGTGCGCATTTGTGGAAAGCTGACCCACAGCACGGCTCCTGTGTCAATCATGGGTATTCAATCAGACTTACCCGACTGCAAGCTGCACAAATGTAGGAGTGATGAAAGAACAGGATGACAGGGAAAAGCTGGCACAAAACCTCACAGCACCTAACTCAGAGGCCCAGGTGTATTTCAGGGGCAAGCAACCCTAGGCCTATTGGTAACTTCAGAAGATAAGAATGCATTAAAATACCAAGAATCCCTGGTGCTTCTAGCTCCAGGAGTCAGTGGGAAAAGCACCACATCCTGTTCTCAGCCAGCTCTGCTCCTTCCGGGCTGTGTAGCTGGCACGCAGCTCCACTCCTCTGTGTCTGTTTCCTCAGCATGCAGGATGAGTTTATACTATGCCAGCCTCCAGGCTGGTGGTGATGACAGATGACACTAGGGTCAAGCTGCCGCACACAGTAGGTGTTCAATGACCTTGTCTCCTTAAAGGAGGTTGGGATGGGAGAAACGTTTATAAAGATGTCTGTCAGTGATGGCTAAAACAACACCTCTTCCCTCCAGTCATGTGGAAAGTTGGCTTCTACTGGTGGGAGGATGAAAGGATGAAGGAGGAACAGCACCCACTGGATGGAGGGGCGGAGGGAGAACATGATGAGGCTCTGGGCAATGCAGTAAGGACTGCCTCTAGCGGCCAGCGGAGGGAGAGGTGAGAAGCCACACCTCCCAAGGAGAACAGTGCACAGTAAAGACAAGAACTCTGCAAAGGCTGCCGTCGATTCATCGTGCGTGTCCTGCAGACCAAGTGCTCGACACAGGCTGGCTCTAAGTGCCAACTGAGAGGCCAGGTTACCTGACCCCCCGCCACTCAGCTGGCCAGCCGCAGGGCTGGACCAGAACCCTGGGCCTGAACCTGGAGTGCACGCTCTCTCCACTCCTCTGGGCTGCCCCTTGAGGCTGGGACTATCCATTCGCGGCTTCTCTTGCTGTCGAGGTCCTTAAGGGTGGGGACCGGCTCTGGCTCGGCTCTGAACCACCAGCATGTGGCAGAAATGCAGCAAGTGTTGGCTGAATCATGTGCTTGAGAACATTTCAGAAAGCTCCTGTACTTAAAAGTCAGAGCCCCTCTCATAGAGTATGACGCAGTAGAAAACTACACAGGCCGATTCCCTTTTAAGGAACGTGGTATTAACAGGGTATATAAGAAATTCCAAATTCTCCACTTCTTGGCCTAGAATACACAAGCACCAAAGTCCTTCCACGATGTAGTATATTAGTGTCTTCTGCTCCAACCTGAAGTGCAAAAGCCCAGCAGTGACTTGAGGTGAGCAATGTGGAACGTCAGAGCATCATCTTGCCTCACCACAGACAAGGAAACTGGAGGCTAGAAAGGGGAAGGGATGCCCCCTCAAGATCACATAGTGGGTCTCCCCTTTTTTCCTATAAAAAGGCTGCCTTTGCAATAAAGAAGAAATGCATTCAACATACACATCCTGAACAGCTGTCGTATGCTGTGTCCGGCGGGTGCGGTAAAGTGCTAGAGCAGTTATCACACAAAGCAGCAAGTGCCCCAGTGGCTGGAAGAGTTAGTTAGGGGTAAGGGAGTCAAGAAAGGTTTCATTTGATAAGTGAAGTGGTGTGAGGGAGAAGTCAGAAGTTCTAAGGGAAGATGTGGCAGAGTCCCTAACCTTCCACCAAAATATGCGCTCTTCCACCAAAGAACCGAGTTGTTGCGGTGAAGCCACTGCCTGAACAAAGATGACACTTTCTTATCTTCTCTGCATCCAGTTGGAGCCATGTGACTACTGGTGGCTGATGGAATGTGAGCAGGAGGGGGAACCAATGGAATGTGAGCAGTTAAGAGCAAGGCAGTTAAGAAAAGGCTGTGCCTTCTCCACCATCCTTTCCCCCTCTGCCAGCCAGAAGCTAAGACTCTGAGGCCCCCGGGAAGGACAGAGCCTTGGATGAAAGGTGCAGGGTCCCTACATCACTGTGTGCTTCTGCCAAGCAAAAGCAGCCATACTGGACTTTATGGGAGAACAAACATGTGCTGGAGTTGGTTACAGCAACAAGCATCACCAGCTACTACAGCAGAGAAGGGAAGACGGATGCTCCAGGCAGAGGGAACAATGTGACCAAGGCACGGCAGTGTGACAAAGCATGGTGTGTTTCAGGGAGTGGAGAAGAGCTGATGGTGGCTGGGCCGCTGGCCTTGTGAAGGGTGTACTGAGATTCAGAAAGCTCATGCTTGTGACCACGGGGAGGAGGGTCACGTACAGGGATTGTTTCCAGGGGCCCTGGTGTTGCTGGCACTGCTCTCAAAAGAAGAATGGAAGTTGTGAATGGTTTCCTGTAAAATTTGTCTCTCACGTCCCTGTGGAGGAAATTGAAAACAGACACAGAAAGTCTTGTTAAATCTTTTAACCATTAATTCAATTGACACAATGTTGTTAATGTTTAACTCATACTTGAAAAACCCATGGGTGTCTTAGGGAAAATAAATTACCTAATTGAAAGAGTACTGAATTTAATAAAAAAAATTCTGAGTCAGAATCTCCCCCAGCACCCATAACTGCAGTATGCCAGTGCTGGAGAGGCTCCCAAGATGCAGGGGTCCCATCGCACGGATGAGGACAAGGAGCAGAGCCCAAGGAGCAGGAATGACTTGCCCTGGGTCACCTGGCCTGGAAGGGAGGTCTCCTATCCTGCCCTGCTCCAAGCATCTTTCCAGCTCTCAGATTTCCAGGGAACTCAGTGGGAGCCAAACTTTCTGATACTAAGTGAGAGTCTGAACTGCTTTACTGCCTCTTGCCCAAAAGATGACGAATTTGTCCTCACAGTGGTTCACTTCTCATCCCATCCCTGCAGCATCCTCCTCCAAGTCCCCACCCTCTACATACACAGTTTGAGATGGGAAAAGAGGGGGGGATGTGGGTGTTGCTTTAAGCCCAGAGAAGATCTTCACTGAATACCTGGCTGAGAGGCAGTGATACACAGAGGTTAAGAACAGAGATTGGAATCAAACAGCCTGGGTTCAAATCCCATCCCTCCCATGGACTAGCTGGGTGACCGTGAGCAAGATACTTCATCTCTGTGGGCCTTAATTTCCTCATTTATAAAAGGAGGATGATAATAGTACCCAAGGGGTTGCCGCTGACACTGGGCTGTAGGTGGGCAGCAGGATGCTGGCACATCCTGCCCTCAGGGGACAGCAGTGTAGATTAAACGTATATATTTTAAACCAAATTAATGTGGCCCAATGTAAAGTCACTTAAAAATGAATAATCTCTGGTAGATTGTTCTCTGCCAAGAGTGAAAACAAAAAACAAAACAACTTCACTGAATGAGCCTAGACTGCAAACTTTCTCTTCTTTCATTTCATGGACTCCCCACATCCCTGAGGGGCTCCTTTCCAGACCCTCAAGCAGAGACCTTCTTTCTGGACACCTGAGAGGGCAGAAAGGGCAGGTGCAATCCTTCCAAGTCATCCTTCCTGGAATAGATGCTGCAATAGTGGAATAGTGCTACAGGGATTCCTTCAACACAAACCTAAAGGCTGCAGGGCAGAGGACAGTACATGGGAGGTGCTGGGGTCAGAGGACCCCAAATTCCTACTCTACCATTCACTCCATCGCAGGCAGGACCCGATGCCGCTGAGTTTCCATGCCTGTAAGATGGGGATGATATCACATGCTGGGGCTGTGATGAGACTCAACCTGAGATAATGAATGGGGTGACACTGTGCAAACTGCAGAGGGCTAAAAAATAAATAGAAGGGGTGGATGACAGCCGTCTCAGTATTAAACACCACCTTAGCCTTAATTGCTTGAGAAATGAGGTCAGGGAAAGACAGGAGTCCAGCACGCTATGCTTCCTAACCTCAGGAGGGAGCTGTAAACGATGAAAATCATAATCACTCCCTGCATCCACAACTGATTGAAGATGATAATGATAATCGCCCTTTAAAAACCCTGAGTGTCAAAGGACCTTCCTCGTAATTCTTAAAAGGAAAAAAAGCAAATGGCCATTAAAAGTAGAAAAATATGTTCAGTCTATCTAGGAGTCAAAGAAATGCAAATTAGCCCAAGGCATATTTCTTGTCCTATCAAATTAATAAAAATTAAAAAGCAAATTGATAGTATCCAATACCAGCAAGGGTGACACTGGAACTCATACCCACAGCTGGTGAGGACGTTCGCTGGCTCTTTCAGGAAGGTAATTCAGGATGAAGTACCATATTCCTTGATTTAAACTCTGACTCCACAATTTTCACTTTTTTTTTGGACATCTATTCTTAGGAGATAATTAGAAAGCCTTATACACGAAGTTGCTCACTGCAGCACTATTTATAGAAAGTTTGGATATCTACATATCCAACAAGTAGGGATTTAAATAAATAATTTTAGTACATCGATGCAAATTCATTTTATTATATTAAAAAGAGTTCTTAATGACATGAGTAACTGCATATATTTAATGTTAAATGAAGAAAGTAGAATGTAAAATTATAGATCCAGATTTATCTCAACCACATAAAGAAAAACATTCAGCACAAAACACTGCAGAGCGATCCTCCCAAATGTGAAGAGCCCTGGCCTCTGGGTGGTCGGATCGTGATTCCTTTAAAAATTCTTTTCACCTTTTTGGTACTGTGCAAATTTAGTAAGACAAATATGTACTGCTTTGATAATCACAAAAAGTGAGAATGGAAAGAAGCAACGGCTTAGGACCAACTAAAGGTGATACTCAGGCTATCATTTCTGGCTAACCGTCTCCAATATACAATTTGTTTGAAATTAACAGACGAATAAGCAGACCTGAGTATATATCACAATTTGAATACTGGGGTGGGCTCACTTGGAAGTCACAGGGCTTGCAGGCTGAGGGTCCACATTGCTTTACTGATATTTTTATGGCTGAGCCAGGTTTGGGGTTAATATTCATTTTAAAATATTTAGACTAAAATGTTCAAACTTTTTTGATAGTGTAAGAAAAACATTTTCTACCACAACCCTCTTACATGTAAATCCATACAACTAAAACAAGTTTTACCCTTCTTACCTGCAAAGAATGTTGGTATTTTCTACTCTATTCTATGTTGCTTGTTAAAATGCTGCTCATGAACTACTAAATTGATTCTACAATCCTCCAGCACACTGTGGGTCACAGCTAGAAAGACATGGGGGCAAGGAAAGCTGGCCCTCCCCTCTCTCACATATCCTCATCTGAGTTCTCAAATGTGCACAGAGCATTTGAACCACAATGAGTACTTTCGTGGCCAAAGTTGGGTTTTGAAAGAAAAACGATAAACGTTAAAAGGGAAGCCCATGCCCTGCAGCGATCAAGGAGACAGGAGTCAGGGTCAGGTGGGTCCAGCCCAGAAGAGCCCAGGCCCAGGGCATCCAAAGGGCTCTGGGATGCCACACTCAGTCTGAGAAGTTTTTCGCTCTTTCTAAGAACCAGGACAGACTTGCAACGGTAACCCAGAGAAGTGAAGATAAACTTGCTTTTGTGATAGTTAGCATCTCCCAATTGTGCCTTCGCTCTAAGATACACTTGACACACAATCCTTGTTTCTACAGGACTGTCTGGCACCACTCAGCCTCAAATAATAGAGCTGTTCTCAGCGATTAGTTCAGATCGGCCCTACCCCCTGCACCTATCTCCATGTGGGATCCTCTGCCTTTGCAGCGTAGATGCTGCCTGTGGGGAGGATGTGGGTGGCCTGGCACATTAGAAGCACCTGGGTCTTCCAGTTGGGAGCTGGTCAGCTGGTGCCCTCAAAGAAGACCACTGTTATGGACTGAATGTTTGTGTTCTCCCACCAAATCCCTATGCTGAAACCCTACGCCTGATGTGATGGTGTCAGGAGGTGGGGCATCTGGAAGGTGATTAGGACTAGGTGAGGTCATGAGGGTGTGGCTCCAATGATGGCATTAGTGCCCCTGTAGGAAGAGATAAGAGATTTTGCTTCTCTCTGTCCTGGGCCGGACACATGAGAAGGTGGCAGTGTGCAACTTGGCAGAGGACTCCCCAGAACTCAAACTTGCTGGCACCCTGACCTCAGACTTCCAGCCTCCACACTATGGGAATTACGTTTCTATTCATAAGTCACTCAGTCTAAGGGACTTTGTTATGTGGCCCAAACTGACTATGACAACCATCAACAGCTGTCTCTTCTGCTTCTCTTGATGGGGCCCTGTTTAGTATGGGATGCAAACTGTTACACAAGCAGGGAGAAGACGGCCTATGAATTTGAGAGAAAACTGAAAAAAGTTCTAGATTGTACAGACTTTAAGAAAAATGTCCTCCTTTTGAGTGGGCTCGAGATGTCACATCATCCACTCTGATGATGACAGTTAAGTTCCTAAGATTTCTAAATGAACCCATCTGTCTTCTTTTTGTGATTCTGGACTAAGGTGGCCAAGGCAGAGGGGAAGTTCTGGAAGCATTAGTGGTTGCTGTCTACCAAGCCCGAGGCCAGGCTCTAATGGTACCAGGCACCTGTCTTCCCCGGCCCTCCACAGTCCTCACTGACCCTACTGTATCCAGACCCTTTTCTGTCCTTCTTCCTCAACTGACTAAGCTTGGCTTTCCTCACCTCCATCCTCTCCTTGGCTCACACATCTGGCCCTTGGATGTCTTGAGGAGGAAGGGCCCTAACTCCTGAGCCATAGTCCCCTATTATCACTCACCTAGTCCTCTCCCCAAAGCCCTTGCCCACTTGACTGGGTCACCCTTGACCTTCCTGGGACCCTCAGTCTGTCCCCTCTGGTCTTTTCAGACACCACACATCTTGTTCTCTGTGCTCCAGCCAGTCCTTTCATTCTTTAAATGTACCATACATCTTCTCACCACAGGGCCTTTGCACATGTGTTTCCCTCTGTCTGGTCTGCATTCTCTTCTAACCTTCTGCCATACAGTTACTATCTTCTTCAGATCGCAGCCCTCCTACCATTTCCTCAGGGATGTCTTCAAGGTCCTTGCCTTACCAGACACCTCTCTAAGCTAGGAGCTCTCATAACAAGATACATCTCTCCTTCATGTGCTGGTGGGTTACACCCAGGCAGGATAACACAGTGGTCAGGACACAAACTGGGTGCTAATCCTGGTTCTGCCACTTACTGACTCTGTGATCTTAGGCAAGTCTTCTCTGGTCTCTGTGTGCCTTAGTTCCCTCATCTGTAAACTGGAACTGACCTCAGTGGCTTTTGTGAAGGTTACATGAAGACTAGATGTGACATGGCAGTCAGATTAGTGCCGGGCACAGACTGATTCTCAGTGCTCAACACCCACACGATGCTTGATACATGGCAGATAGTCAAAGAGCAAATTTTCATGAATAAATCAACACTCCAAAGACTTTAGTGCTGACTTCAGGTGACCCAGTTGCAGCGAGCCACCTTGGGGCTTCCGTTCCCTGGGTGAACCCTTCCTAACAGCAGAGACCTGCCCATTTCCCAGCCCTCTCATCTTATGGCAGAGCAAAAATGGTGCTGGTCTGGGAGTCAGGGCTCACCGCCCCTCCTGGAGGCTTTGCTTCCCTATCTGTAAAGTGAAGCAGCCCAGGTTCTGGGACAGGTGAGCAGCGTTTAGGAACAGGCCACTTACAGAGGAGACAGAACACACAGCAAAGACTTGTAGGAAAATGCTCAGCTTTGCAGGCACCTGAAGCAATGCTGACTACATCACTCTGAAGGACCACCTCACAGCCTATAGGCAGGTGTATTAATGATGACAACGCTGGCAACAAAATCACCGCCCCAAGCACAGCACGGTGCTGCAGAACAAATGAGGAAGACCCAGCTCAGGCTCTGCCTCGGCCGTCCGCCCACCACCACCTGGGCCTGGCTGTTGACCCTGCTCCTTGGCTGGATCCGTGAAGGTGAGGATACCGGCCTCCCAGATTAAATGAGGAAATGTATGCAAAGTGATTTGTGAATGATAAAGTGCTACAGGATATTTATTTGCTGTCTGTTTAATATTTCTGTGTCTACTAGAAATAAATAGAAAGAATCATAAGATGGTCATGATCTCTGACATAACCTCATATTGTGGAACAGAGCCCGAAACAACAGAAGAAAGAAGAAAAGGCAGAGGCGTCCATTACAGCACTATTTATAATGGCAAAATCCCAGACATAGCACTACTATCCAACAAATGGGGAGCTGTTAGACAAAGTGTGACAAAGTGACAGGTAAGCAAGTATTATACGTTGCTGCTAGAATGAGAGACAAAAAGATCCAGCCCACATTGGGGAGAAAGGCAGAAGGCAAAGGGGGGTGAACAGCCCGAGAGTGATTGTACAAAGGCCTGCAAAGTGAGTGGTGACTTGCTTCTCGTGTGTTTTGTTTGCTTATTTGTTTTTTGCATATGCCCCTTTGGGTGGGTGGGGACATCGCCCATCTTTAGCTTTAAAGCTGGTGAAACACAAATTGAACATCAGACAAAAATGCACGATGCTAACAATAACAACAGTGACTGACGGATCACTGTATGCCAGGCATTCTGCTGAGTCTCTCAGACCTGGCAACAAGCCCATCAACCCTCAACTACAGACAGGAAAGCCAGGCTCAGAGAGCGGTGTGACTTGCCCGGGGTCATGGTGAGTAAGTGGAGGAGCTGGGATTCGAACCCAGGTCAGCCTGACTCCAGGCCCTGTCTTAATCAACTTCTATTGTGCTAAGGAGGGCAAAACCCAGCCCTGTGGGTTGAAATGACTGGAGGGAATATTTGAGCTAAATCTAAGGAAAAACAACCTTGTGGAAAGAGAGATCTGGAAAAGGAACAGGCACACTGGAAGGCAGTGACCCTTCCGCCATGAGAACTGTGCGAGCGGGGCAGCCTCCGCCAGGGATGTCAGTGCGGATGGGGGACGAAATCAGACCTTGAAGATCCTTGCGCACACAGGGCTGAGGATCCTAATGAAACTCTTGGTTGAAAAAGGAAACAGCACAAAAAAAAAAGAAGAGAGAGAGAGAGAGAACAATACCTTGCCTGCATTCAGTTCAGAAATCGCTGCCAAGATCTGCTGCCTGGATCCATCTGTCTTAATACCCAGCTCCTTCAAGTCGCCGTCAGTGAGCGTCAGGAATGCTTCCATGTCCACCTGGGAAGAGAGAAGGGGGATTTGCTACCATCTGCTTGGTGCCACACCTCTTTTTTCCCAACCGCAACAAAAATATCATGATTATGAGCTATTAGTGCTGATTAGCAGTAAATTAATTATGATTTACTACTTCCAATTCCTGGCTTTATGCTGAAAGTTCATTTGAAAATATCATTAAAAATGAACTCTCCTTAGCTCTAGCCCTGGGATTTTCAGAAGAGTGCATTCTGGAAAATGCCTACAAGCCAAACAAGTAAGGAAAGTCTCCGAGACACTAATCTGGGTGACTTGAGTGGTAAAAATCCAAGTCCTGCTATTAGAAAGTTACTTCCAACATTGCCGCCCTTTTAACAATATTGGATACTGTGCAGAAAACAGGAGTATATGGCAGTACTCACCATGTTTCCCCCCCAAGGACAAGAGAGATGCAGACTGTGGAAAGAGAGTGAGAAAATAAACCAGCAGAAGCAATAAAGGAAAGAAGGGCTGTGGAGAATCATGGCTGCCCCCTGACCCTGGCGGAAATTCCTGGCCCCGCCAGACACTTCTTCCCAGGACCATCCCAGACCTGTAGCAGAGACCCCACACCCAGCCTGTATGTAGGTCCCCATGGCTAGCTCCTCAGAAGGCATAGAACATATAAAATAAAAGCAGGCAGCCATTAACAAACAGAAAAGATTTTTCTGACAACAAGAAAAATCACCACTGAAGTTTAAGATGCCAAGGAGGCAGGAAGGACAGCGTGGATAGGGCAGAAAAGCAAACCGAGGAAGAAAGCCACAGCACCTCTGTTTCTTGAATCAAAATACAAACTCCTCAATTTCATCTCAAGCTTGTTGGGGACAATGAGTGATTCTTGCGATTGCTACTATAAGTATGACAGTTGTCATGTAGTAAGCTGGGCAGCAGAATGTTCTAAGCCCGTGATTACACTGTGGTGGCTAGTGGGGCTCAGAGAGGAGTTTTATTTGGCCAACAATAAAAACAGTAATGGCTTATTGAGATATAATTCACCTACCATACAACTCACCCATTGAAACTACACAATTCAATGATTTTTCGTACAGAGTTGTGTAACCATCACCACACTTAATTTTAGAACATTCTCATCACCCCAGAAAGAAAACCCATACCCGTTAGCAATCACTCCCCATTCTCTCCTCCCTACATTCCCTGGCAACCACTAGTCTACTTTCTGTCTCTACAGATTTGCCTGTTCTGGACATTGCATATAAATGGAATCAGACCATATGCGGCCTTTTATGACTAGCTTCCTTCACTTAGCACAGTGTTTCCAAGGCTCATCCATGTTGTAGTGTGTATCAGTATTTCCCCCAATTTTACAGCCAAGCTACATTCCACGGTATAGAGATAACACATTTTATTTATTCATTCATCAGTTGATGGGCATTTGGGTTGTTTCCGCTTTTTGGCCACTATGATGAATAGTGCAGCTATGAATACACAAGTTTTTATGCCAAAGTATGTTTTCAGCTTTCTTGGGTATGTACCAAAGAGTGGGAATGCTGGGTCATGAGGTAACTCTGCTTAACATTTTGAGAAACTTCCAAACTGCAGAACAGTAGTTTTTTGGGGTTTTTTAAAAATGTGATTGTGAGTGCTTTTAAGCTTTTAAACTCTCTCAGACTAACACAGACTCTTTACATTCAGACACTTAACAAATAGATTCATTAGGATTTGCTTTTGACCTGCTTTAAACCTAAAAGCCTGCTAGTCAATCCCCTTCAAAGGGGAATAGGACAGACACAAACTTTACTAGAGAGAACAGTGCTCAAAATTACAAAATCCTATTACAACAAAACAAGCCATGATGTCCCCAGGATTTCATTGTTAGGAAGTGAACCAAATATGCTGAACATGAATTCTTTTTTTTTAGGTTTCTTTTTTGAGGGGGAGGTAATTAGGCTTATTTATTTTTTTAGTGGAGGTATTAGGGATTGAACCCAGGACCTTGCGCATGCTAGGCATATACTCTACCACTGAGCTATACCCTCCCTACCTGAACTTGAATTCTATTTCCTTAGCTGCCTCAGTGAAAAAGATCAATCCAGGCTTACAGAATGGAAACCTAAATATTTAGACAACTGTTTTCTGGTAAGATTTAAATTGACACTCGAAAAGAACATCCTTACCTCTTGCTCCTCAAAAATGGGCTGATATTTCTCAAGTGATAATTTCTTAAGGATTCCAGTCAGTTCATCTTCAAGAGGGAGAGAATGTAACATAAGATATTTTAGAATTTGGTAAAATACATCAAAAGAGTGGTTTTCAATCTTTCATAAAGTAGTGGTAATCTTATCTCAAATGAAGTTCGACAAGAATCTCCCACCGAGAAAGCAGATCTAAGCTGTGTTCCTGGGGATGAAGCCGGAGGTGTATCCCGAGCTACCTGTTGGCCACACTCTTCCCTTGGGGCAGGCTCTCAGCATTTCCCAAAAGCCCAGATTGGGCTGTGAAGACAGATGATGGGAAGGTTCACGGCCAGGCTGACTCTCCAATGGCTGCAACCACCAAGTTCTTGGAGTTCTAGCTGCTGGGACTACAACTCCACCTTCTGTCCAAGAACAATTTTTAACTATGTTTTCTTGACTGCTGGTAGCTGCACTTGCAGCAAACACTAATGCCAGCAGCTCTCAGCTAGCCAGAGAAAGACCTGGACAGAACAGGCAGGTGGGCTTCAGACCAGAGTCAAGGTTTGGCTCAAGCATTTGGAGGTTGTAGGCTTCCTCAAGGAAGGATATGTCTAAATGGAACCACAAAGCCAGGTGGGCACGGACCAGGGGAAAATAGAAGATCTGGGGTATCAAGATATCAGAGCAGGGAGGGTAAAGAAAGGAGACAATACCAGCATCTGGGTGGCTTGAAGAAACATTCATTTGCGCAGTCAATAGGGATTTACCAGACTAGGCACTGGACCAACAATGACCATAAACAGGCTGACAGGCCCAAGGCAGTGAAGAAAAACAGATCAGGGTCGGGTAGGTTGACAGGGGATGAGAATGTTGTTTCATACAAGGTGGTCAGGGAAGGCCTCTTGGTAACATTTAAGCAGTAAATGAAGGAGTATGCTGTGCAGATACCAAAGCAAAGAGCACCAGGCAGCATCCAGGTAGAGAGAGTGGCAAGTGCAAAGGTCCTAGGGCAGTGGGTATAGCTCACAGAAAAGTGGGCTTGAGGTTAGGAGGACTAAGTTCCTTCTTCTACTCACTCATTCATCATTCAACAGTAACAACTAATGTGCCCACTACATGCTGGGAATGCAAGGATGGAAAGGTCCCTGCTATGAGGGAGCTCAGTGTGGCTGGGAAGACATAATGATGAGGGTGACAGCTGATGCCGTGCTCACCATCAGGCACCCTGTAATGGATAACCCCATGAGGTAGACCCTATTACTGTCCCCATTTACAGATAAGGAAGGCACAGAAAGCTGGATACCATATCTCAAGTGAGGTCACTCCACTAGTCCACGGAAGAGCAGGGATTCAAGCCCAGTGGTTTAGCTACCAGGTCTCTGCTACACACCCCGCTCTGCCACTTCTCCCATTAGTGAGGAGTATATGGTGAAGGGCATGAACAAGGGGCTCTGGGGACAGAGAGAACAGCTGACCAACCCAAAGGACTGGAGAGGCTTCACAAAAGAGCTGCTATTGAGCCAGAATGTATGAGAGGAAATGAGTCCCAATCCACACATAATCCATTATAGGTTCATGATGCATATAATGCTTTGGTCCTGCTGTTCCCCAAAAGTCTCTACACATTTGTGTGCTGGTAAATGTTTAACAACTGGCTTTATGGGTGAGGGGAATATATGCATGTATATAGGTCCATAATTTTATTGCAGATTTTACTGATTTAAGAATGTGTGCACATAATTTACGTATAATAATAAATTACATGATACTCTGTATTATAAATTCCCTATAGCCAATGCCTTCATTGCATTTCGGGCATCTCACTGAATGCTTTTATTGATTTTTGCCTTACTCTTGCAGATATGGCCAATGAATATACTTCCAACATGAAGGTTGGTTCATGCTTCCGTTTACATGAGCATGAGAGATGAAATGAAACAACAAAGACAAATGCTGGAACTTCATGCGAGCAACTTTGCTGAATCAGATAATGGTTTTCGAATCCTAGAAGAATACTTTCTCAGTTTTGGGTGCTGCTCTCAGTATAACAGCTACAGACATGAAACTTTAAAGGTTAACCTGCATAATTCACACTGTCTCCATCACTATCTAGATGACATTTATATATGAGCTATAAAACAATAAATCAAATCCTGATGGATGATGTTTGCTAATTTCCATGGTGTAAATACCCCACCATGGCCTATTTCAACCTACTAATGTCACGTTCCTGAAAGCAGAATTGAGAAAGATGCACAGGAGTAACACATCATCACACAGCCTTTCCACCGTATAGATAAGAGATGTAAAAAACCCCAAGAGCACAGATATTAGGAAATTCACTAAAAAATCAGTAAATAATACATTTTGTTTTAAATACCATATACCTGTGTATGTAACATAATCGACTTAATTCATGTAATTTGACTTTTTTTCTATTTTAACATATATTTTTGTTGTTGTTATAATCTGACTTTTAATAGCTATGTTTAATTGCCAGATTGTACATTTCATATAAATTTAACCCTCTGGCCCACCACTGCCCTCTCTCTTCTCAGCCCTTGTGGCCCAGCACAAGTGCCTCCTCTTCAGTGAAGCCTGCCATGGTGCTCCATGGTGCTCCATGATGCTCCACGCCTTGCTGATAACACAGGTTTGATCCCACTTTGTGTTACAATCATTTAATGTTATTATGTGAAAAGTATCTGAACCCCAGCCTAACTGTGAGTTATCCTAACACTCAGCACTGGTTATAGTACCCAGTGCCTGTCCCGGAAGCCTTCATGGAACAAATGTGAGGCAGAGAAGGTGACATTGTCATGGCCTCACCACTTCCGATGCGCAGAGCGTAGAGAGAGGGACATGGGTAGAAAGGTGAGCAGGGCAAAGGCTTGCATGCGGTCCTTGACTGGAGCTATAGATTTCCCATAAAAATTTCATAAAGGATGGCTGTTTGGGGATGAACTGCAGGCTCCGGTCTGTGATAATCTAATGCCTTCAGGACAACGGTCTTGCTGTCCCAGGTCCCAGGAACCTCAGGAGGGAAAATGAGGCTTTCTAAGTCCAAGAAATTAACCTAAAAAGAACTTGCTTCAGGTCCTCCTCTGTTTTTATCCCAACTAGGCTTTGTAAACCTTATTTTAATAAAGAATGAGACAAAAAGAGTGGGCATGGACAGTGCATTCAAATATCCACTGTCTCAACTCTGTTTTGGAAAAAGGTGGGGTACAAATCCTAAACTGAACCTCTAAGAGCTTCGATTCCTGAAAGACTCCGAGGTGGGAGAGTTCACAGGTAGAAAACTTAAGATTCCACAGAGAAAACACGATTAGGGAGGAATGGGGTTGCTAGTGAATCTCTGAAGCTTTTATAAATGATTGCACTAGATATCACAAAACAATAAAAGGAGCCCCAAATAAAGAGGATGCCGATGGCAGTGTGCGTTTATCAACTCAGTACAGACCAGAGCCTGTGCAGTTGATTTCAACTTGCTGGGCAGAACCTGCTCCGCCCTCCCTCCTGGCAGCTGCAGGGATATGCCTGCAAATGCGCTGTATGAGGACCACACACACAAAGAGTTTCCTGCCCTCTCTGATTTATACTCCTTGATTTGCTCCTGCCTGGGCCCCATCTCTCATCAAAGCTCCACTTGCTCCTCCCCCAACCCCCGCTCTCAGGAGCCACCAGAGGGCAGTTTTAAAGGGTGAGCTTCCGCTCTTCTCTCCTTTCTTTTATGTCTTCACATCTTTATCTGGGGCCTCACTGCACAACCTCCACTCCTGCCCTGCCGTCAGCTCCATCTGCCTTTCCTCATCATCCCCACTCATGCAGGTTCCAACGTTCTCCTGGTTGCAGTGGATACCTCTTGCTTTTGCTTGCCCAGCATCCTTGTCTCCTCCTTCCAGAAACAGCACTTCCATTTTCCTTTGAGGAGCTACTTCTCTCCCGCTCTCAGTCCACACAGACCTGACCCCGACCCTGGCTCTAAAGGCAACACACTGCACCCTTGGGAACACAGTAATCATCAAGGATGAGCAAAAACCCAAGTAGTCATAAATATAGCCAAGGCAGGACAATGACCTTTCTTTACCCCAGGGATTTTGCTGGACCTACTAAGAAAGCAGCACTCTTTCTGCTGGGTTGCGAATTCAGCAGGAAGAAGTAAGCCTGAAGCTGCTGAGGGCATCCTTGCCACCACTTTTGAGACATGGAGAGTAACACTCCCAAAGGACCTGGATCCAGACATGCCTGAAGCACACCCTAGACACTTACACTTTATGAGCCAACAAATTAAAAGTTTTTTGGTTGTTTTTGCTTAAATCAGTTTGAGTGGAGACTCCATTCCTTGCAACTGACAGAATTCTGATTCAGGGAAAAGTACAAAACTGATGTTGGAGAAGCATTTCTACACATGTACATTTGTATATGTAATCAAAACTCACCTACAGTCAAAAAACTATTATATACTGTTTAGATATGTAAGCTCAACAAAGGCAAAAATACACGGCAGAATCGGGGAGGGGAGGGACAGGTGTTTTTGTTTGATTAAAACAAATAAAAACAAAACACCCAACCTAGGATGGCAATAGCAATTAAGGACACCTACCAGGTCACCATGGTGAAGAGGAAAGGGTGGGGTCTGGGGATGTCGGGGGACTCACCCTCGTCAGTGATGGTGCCGCTGCTGGAGCCCCCGCTGCTCTTGGATTGCCGGTGGGAGGAGGAGGAGGACACGGAGGACTCGGCAGCGTGCCCTTTGGGAGACGGCGAAGGTGTGAGGGTAGGGGAGGTACTTTTGGAGGTAGTGGAAGTTCCAGACGGAGGCCTTTTGCTTGTCTCCAGTTTCTGCTGGAAAGAATAAGAAAAACACATAAGCCATCACCTGGAGGGTAGACATGATTCAAACAGACACCCACAACAGGGAACAAGGGTGATATCTAACTCAACAAGATATCTAACCAGGACTATGAAATCTACTTAAGAAAACATGCAAAGCAGAAACAGCATTATCAGAAGAGCTTCAGGAAAATCCTTCCCTGGAGCAGAGAGGCAGGGAATAGAATGGGGAAAGCGGCACACGAGGAGCCAAAAAACCCAGGGCCTCGTCCTGCCCCTACAGCTGCTGGCATTGTGTCCTTGGCCAAGTCCCCTTACCTCTCAGTTAACCAGCTCTAAAATGGAAGCGTGGCTCATCATACACAAAGTCCCATTCTGCTGTTCCTTCATCTAAACCAGCCACTTCCAACCTTCCACCAAAGAACTCTTAGTGTTCCTTTTTATGTGTGTGCTGCACACAAAAAAGGCCTTTTTATTTTGAAATACTTTTATTTATTTATATTGAAATATAGTTGATTTACAATGTTGTGTTAGTTTTAGGTGTATAGCACAGTGACTGTTTTTTTTTCCAGATTATATTCCATTGCAGGTTACTACAAGGTGTTGGGTATATAATCCCCTGTGGTAGATGGTAAATCTTCATTGCTTGATCTGTTAATCCCATACTCCTAATTTATCCCTCCCCTCCTCCCGCTCCCCTTTGGTAACCATAAGTTTGTTTTCTATGTCCGTGAGTACTTCTAGATGTACAGAAGAGCTGTAAAGAGAGAACAGAGTTCCCGTGTATCCCTCAGCGAGTTTCCCCTAATGTCAACATCTTATAAAACTCTAGTATAATCATTGAAGATAGGAAATTAACACGGGGACAACACCAGTAGTAAACTACAGACTGTACTCAAGTATCACTGGTTGTTCCACTGACGTTCTTATTCTGGCCCAGGATCCTTGCTGCATTGACTTTTCATGTCTCCTCAGTCTCCTTTAGTCTGCGACAATCCCTCGGTCTTGCCTTATCTTTCATGACTTTGCCATTTAAAACCTGGGCTCATTATTTATAAAATATTTACTTATTTGTTCAACCCTAGTATATATGCGTGCAAAAAGTATATATATGTAAAGAGGCTTCAGATCTGCTAGCCTATACCCCTGCAAGAAAAAAAATTATCAACTAGAGTGCAGTGCTTGTGTACCGTTCTTTTTGTCTTTGCTTTAGCCTTATAGTATCTACTTGATACACATTTTCCCCCACCTCCTACAGTGTGGTCATGTCATTCACTTGTAATATAGCTAGATCTGTTGTCAGAGTCTGCATACCATCCTTAGTTCCTAGTTGATTTTTTAAGTTTGCATACAGTAAAAATAACTGTTGTGTACAGTTCTACAGGTTTTGATAAATAAGCAGAGTTGTGTATCAACCAACAGAATACCACACAGAACATCTTCATCATCCCCCCAATTCCTAGTGCTGTTCCTTCTCATCAATCCCTCCCCCGATCCCAACCCATGGAAATAACAGATCTGCTTTTCATTCCTACAGTTCTGCCTTTTGCAGAAGGCCATCTAAATGAAATCAAATATGTACACATTTTTTTTTTGGCCTGGCTCAGCATAATGCCTCTAAGATCCATTTAAGTTATTGCATGTATCAATAGTGTGTCCTTTTCCAGCCTGCTGAGTAGTATTTCATTGCATGGATGTTACCACAGTTAGTTTACAAATTTACCTGTTATGAGCTGTTTCCAGTTTGGGGTATTAAGGAAAAACTGCTATAGACATTCACAAACTGATTTTTGCATAAACCGAAGTTTTTAAAAATTCATTTGGGTAAATACCTAGGAGGGAGATAGCCAGGTCATATGCTAAGTGTATATGTAGTTTTGTAAGAAACTGCCAAACTTTTTCAAGGTGGCTGCATCATTTTCACATTCCCACCAGCAAGGAATGAAAATTCCAGTAGCTCCACGTTCTCATAGCACGTGTAACTTTTTTTTAATTTCAGGCAGTCTAATAATAGGTGTATTAGTGCTGTCTCATTGTGGTTTTAAGTAGCATGTCCCTAATAATTAATGATGTTGAACATGTTTTAATATGTTTATTTGCCATCTGTATATCTTCTTTGATGAAGCATCTATACAGATATTTTGCCCAATTTTAAATTTGCTGGTTGTTTTCTTATTACTGAGTTTTGAGAGTTCTTTTTACTGGATACAAGGCTTCTGTAAGATACATGATTTGCAAGTATTTTGTCTGGTCTGTGATTTGCCTTTTTATTCTCTTAATGCTATCTCTTGCAGGGCAAAAGATCTGAATTTTGATAAAACCCAATTTAACTTTTTTTTTCTTTTCAAGGATCATGCTTTTGGTACTGTATCTTAAACTTCCTTGCCAAATCTGAAGTCACACAGATTTTCCCCTAGAAGTTTTACAGTTTTTCATTTTTTATTTCAGTCTGTAATCCATTTTGAATTAATCTTTGTATTCGCTGTGATATATATGCGGAGGTTCATTTTTCTGCATATTCAATTGTTCCAGCACTATTTGTTGAAAAGACTATCCTTTCTTTGTTGAATTGCTTTCGTGCCTTTGTAAGAAAAAAAAAGTTGACTATTCTTGTGTGGGTCTATTTTTGGCCTCTCTATTCTGTTCCATTGACCTATGTGTCTGTCCTTCCCGAATGCCATACTGTAGTTTTACAGGAAGTCTTGAAACTAGGTAGTGTGATTCTCTTTTTCATAATTCTTTTGCCTATTATGGTTTTTTGCATCTTATTATACATTTCAGAATCATTCTCTAGATCTCTACAAAACAGAGCTAGCTGGTATTTTAATTGGGACTACATTGAATCTATAGATCAGACTGCAGAAAATGGATATCTTAACAATGTTGAGCCTTCCATCTTTCCACTTACTTAAGCTTCTTTGATTTATCAATGCCTTGTGGTTTTCAACCTATAGATTCTGCACATACTTCATTAGATTCATACCTAATCTTTCATTCTCATAATACATTTTCATATAATACATTTCAAATGTATTATAAATGATACATTTTAAATTTCAAATGTAAAAAGTCAAATTGTTCATTGCTAGTATATAGAAATACAATTGACTTTTGTATATTGACCTTGTATCCTCAGATCCTGCTGAACTCACTTACTAGTCCTAAGAGCTTTTGTGTAGATTTGGGGGTTTTTTTTTTTGAGTTTTCTAAGCAGACCATCATGTCATCTAAAAATAGAGATAGCTTTATCTCTTCCTTTCTAACCTGTGTACCTTTTGTTTGTTTCAGACCTTATTACACTAGCTATAGTTTTTGGTACAAAGTGAAAGACTTGGATGTAAGAGACAACATCCTTGCTCCTGATCTTAGGGGAAAAGCACTCAGTCTTTTACCATCAAGTAGGATAGGTATTTTATATGAGGTCCAGGAAGTTCTCTTCAATTCTTAGTTTGTCAAGAGTTCTGGTCACCAATGGAGCCTGAATTTTGCCAAGTGCTTTTTCTGCATTTTATTCTTTAATCTGTTAATATGGTGAATTAAACTGATTGATTTTACAATGTTGAACTAGATTTGCATTCCTGGGATAAACTCCACTTGGTCAGAATGTATTATCCTTTTACTTTATCACTGGATTAGATCTGCTAATGTTTTGTGGAGGATTTTTACACTTCTGTTCATGAGGGCTATTGGTCTGGCATTTTCTTTTCCTGTACTCTCTTGAAAACATATCCTTGTTTCCTATCTCAAGGGGAAAGAGGGACTCTGCATAATGCTATAGAGGTCAGTTCTCCAAGAAGACATAGCAATCCTCAATGTGTATAGAGCTTTAAAATACATGAGGCAAAAACTGATAAAACTGAAAGGAGAAATGGAACAATCCACAGCTATAGACAGAGACCAATATTCCTCTCTTAGTAACTGACAGAACAAGTAGACAGAAAATCAGTACACATGTAAAGACTTGAACAACCTATAAACCAAACAGACCTGACATTTATAGAACTTGCCCACTTCCACCACCACAACAAAATACACTTTCTTTTCAAGTGCATATGGGAGATTCACCAAGCTAGCACGCATTCTAGAGCATAAAACAGACCTCAACACATTTAAAGGAACAGAAATAAACTAGCATTAAACTAGATCTCAGTAACAAAGATTTCTGGAAAAATACGAAATGAGTGCAAAACAAACAATACACTAAATAATCTAAATAATCTTTGGGCCAAAGAGGAAGTCTCAAAAGAAATGAAAAAAATATTTTAAAGTGAATTAAAATTAAAATATATCAAAATTTGCAGGATGCAGGCAAAGCAGTATGTAGAGTTAAAATTACAGCATTGAAGTGCTCACGTAGAACAGATCTCTAAACAGTGCTCTAAGCTTCCACCGTAAGAAACTAGAGGACAAATAAAACTCCAAGCAAGTAGAGGAAAGGAAATTACAGATAAGGTCATAGATCAATGAAACTGAAAATATAAAAATAGAGAAAAGTCAATAAAACCAAAGTTGTTTCTTTGAAAACATCAATATGATTAATAAAATTCTAGCTAGACTGACCAAGAGAAAAAAGAGAGAAGTCACAAATGACCAATATCAGGAATGAAAAAGTAGACATTCCTACTGGCTCCAGACATTAAAATTATTAATAAAGGAACACTAACAATTCTATGTCCATAAATTCAACAACTAAGATGAAAAAGAATACTTTTTGAAGACACAAAATGCAAAACTCACTCAAGAAGAAGCAGGTAACCTGAATAATCTTATACTTATTAAAAATTTTATTTTGTAATTTAAAATTTTCAAGAAAAGAACATGTCAGGCCCCGACAGTTTCACTGGCAAATCTTAAAATTTTATCAAACAGTTAGGGAAAAAGTATTACCAATTCTACAAAATCTCTTCCAGAAAAATAGAATAATACTTCCCAACTCATTTTATGAGACAAGATGACTGTTTTTTTCCTTTTAGCACTTTAAAGACATCACTCTGCTGTCTTTGATTTACATAATTTCTTACAAGAAGTCTGCTGCAATTCTTTTTTTTTTTGTTCCTCTGTATGTAATTTCTTTTTTCTCTGACTGCTCTCAAGATTTTCTCTTTGTCTTATTTTTAGTAGTTCAGTATGTACAGCTAAGGTGTGTTCTTTTGGGTATTTACTCTATTCAGTGTTCTCTAAACTTCCTGGATCCGAGGTTTGGCATCTGTCATTAATTTGGGGAAATTCTTGGCTGTTAAAAATATACATATTTTGCATTTATATATACTCCTTCTGCCCCACCATTCTGTCTCTCTTTCTCTCTTTCTTTAGAGATTCCAATTACCTGTGTGTGAGAGCATCTAATAGTCTCTCAGCATTCTGGGGTACTCTGCTTTTGTTTTTGCTTTAACTTCTTTTTTACTTTTTTTTCAGTTTGGGTAATTTCCATTGCCCTATCTTCAGATTCACTGATTCTTTCCTTGGCTGTGTTCAGTTTACTGAGGAGCCCATCAAAGGCATTCCTGATCTTTGTTACATATTTTTTTTAATTTGAGCATTTCCATTTGATTCTTTCTTATAATTTCCATTTCTCTGCTGAAATAGTTACTCATATGATGTTGCATGTTGTTCAAATTTTCCATTAGAGCCTATAACATATTAACTGTAGTTCTCTTAAATTACCTGTCACATAATTCCAACACCTATTTCACATCTACATCAGATTCTGATGATTGCCTTGTTTCTTGGGAGTGTGATGTTTCTTGCCTTTTTGCAAATCTTGTAATTTATGCTAAAACTTGGACATTTCATATAGGAGAGACCAAGATAAGTAGTTTTTATGCATGGAAGTGGGTACACATTTCCTTCTGCTAAGCCTTTAATGCTCCTTTTAGCTAACTACATTCTAGAGTGGAAAAAGAAGTCCTTTTCTTAGGTTTTGAAGGACTTTGTCAATAAGCTGCCTACATTATTTAAGAATTCTTCCTCCTGCTTTTTCTATAAAGAAAGACATTCCATAATTAAGCTTCTGATTAAGCAGGAGATAATTAGTGTATCTTTACAAAACAGATCTATTGCAGCCAAGAGTAAAGAAACACAATACTCTGAACCTTGTGGGCAGCATTATTGGGAAGGGAGCAGGTTAAATGTAAGATTAGGATGCTCTGAAATATTTGAACTATTCCCCACGTCCCCAGTGTGGCAGACTGATCATATAATGGCATCATCTCCACCCGTCCCTGGATCCATATACTTTGGTATGTAATTCTGTGTGATCTCCTGCAGTGGGTGTGATGACTTGCTTAAACAACTTGATTAGATTTCAATTTATGCCTTCGGCTGTTGCCATGAGAACATGTCCCAGCTTGATGTGGACACACATGGCCCAGTTTGACCCCAACATTTACGAGATCCCCCTAGACCGGAAGAATTGTCTAGCTAAGTCCAGACTAAACTGCCCAGCCATAGATTTACAAGCAAAAGAAATACTTTTTGTTTTAAACCACTGTGCTTTAGGGTGGGACTAGAAAGCTGAAATACTCAGTGGGCCTTTGGGCTTCCCAGGATGTGGGAAATCTTGATGTCCACTCTGATCTCCCCCCCCCAATTCTGTGTCTCCTAAGGCACAGTTCATGTCAGAAGCCATGCCTTATGAATATTCCACCATTGCAGTGGTGTTTGTTTTAAGCAAAGTACAAAAACCATATTCAGAATATTTTGAAGACTAATTTCTAATTTTTCCTAAGGGAGTCTCTGAAAAGCACTTCATGTCTCCATTTTGCTGTTGGAGCCTTTGACAGGAAGCCCACTCCTGTAGCTTTTGATTTAGGGTGATGGTTTCTAAGAACCTGGGCTGGGCTGGCTGCAACACTCTTCAGGGGGAAAAACAGATTCCCCAGACCCTACCCTGAGAGTCTCATTCAGTTATGCTGCACGGAACCCAGAAACCTGATTTTTTAAGCAGCTCCCCAAGGTTACAGCATATTATTATGTTAACAATATCAAGTGATCATTGAACCAGGCCCCACTCTAAATGCTAAAGTGTGAGGCTGAGATTTGAACCTAGGCAGTACCTCCTGAACCCTTTTGCTATAAATCAGTGGAAAAAACCATGTGCAATGTGAGGCTGGATGACCAGCGCAGGGCTGCAGGAGCCTGGTGCTCACCCCGCACCTCAGTGCCCCTCCCACCTCAGGTGCCCTGGAGATCAGACAGGAGGTAAACACACATGTGCAGGAGACTGACGGCACAGAGTGTGAAATCCACAATGGCCCTTCTTAGAAAGCCCACGAGTGGCTGGCTGGAAGGGGTCAGTTTAGTTCAGTCCCAGGACAGTGGCACACCCCATACCCCCCAGCACACGGGCTGTGTTAGGACAGAATCTGTGAGCATCACAGGAGGAGACAGAAACAGAACAAGCACCTTGCCACCAGGAACACCGCTGCCTGCAGGGGAGACCGGGAGCTCAGACGGGCTAGAGCTGGGCGCTGGCCCAACAGGACTTGACCGGTGGCTGGGCTTCTGCTCGGATAACCCAGCTGCTTTCTTCCTCTGGGCAGCGATCTGGGACAGGACACTGTCTATGCTGCCACCTGAGGAAACAGGAATAGGAATGACTGCCCTGGGTCCAGAGCACGGCAGCACGGGTGGTGGACATCGGGTGTCAACCTGGCTGAGCCGGAACCACATTTTCCAGACCCCTCCCCATGTGGCTGTGCATCAGGGCTGACCACAGAAGGACTGTGCATCAGAACTGGCAGGTGGATGGCCATCAGGCTCCAAAGGCGTCATTGTAAGAGGTGGTGAGATGCTATGCAGGCAAAATCTGTTTGTCCTCACTTTCCCCCAAGGCACAGCCAGCTCAGTCAGCCCCCAGCAGGCACAGACGCCACTCCCTGCCCTGCATTCCCACAGCAGCCCCTCTGTAACACCTTCCAGCAGCTGCACATGCGGCCATGCCAGGGCTCCTCTGTCATCATCCAGCCTCCTGGATCTCTACATCCCCAGTTACTCCCACAGCTATATCAATAACCTCCTCACTCCGTAATGCTCAGGGGGTCAGCTTCCCTGATTGAATCCTGATTGCCAGGTCCCCCTCCCTGTTTCCCCAAACCTACTAGCAACCTTGAATTATAATGAAGGAAAAAGGGAAAGTGATAATATCCAGGGTGAGGGAGCATGCTAGAGGAAGAACACTGATAACTAACATTTATAGAGCACTTACTAGGGGCCAGGCACTGCTGTGAGTATTTTACACGTGTAAACAGAGCCGCTCCAGAGGGCAAAATGTAAAGCCTCAAAAACAGGCAAACCCATTGACCCCACCACCCTGAGTCAAGGGAACTTACATTAAGCAAATCATTAAACAAGCATGCAAGCACAGAGGTATGAAGCCATTACTTAGAGTGGGACCTATAAGGGCGAAAATCGAGAACAGCCTCAGTGCTCAACAAGAGGGAGCTGGTTAATTAAAACTGTGATACCTGATATGAGTGGAAGGCTGTTTGGTTATTTAAAAGACACTATAGACATATGTGTATTGATTGACACAGAAAAGGTGTTTACAACATAGTAACGGGTGGAAAGAGGAAAAAGGTTACAGGGCAGACTCCACTCAGAAGTTGGCCTGCCTGCGTTCAGGTCCTGGCTCTGCTACTTCACAGCTGTGTGACCCTGGGCGAGTTATTTAATTTCTCTGAGTGCAGTTCCCCACTCTGTAAAGTGGAGAGGATACCCTCACAGGTTGCTGGAGGACTGAACGAGACAATCCACTTAAAGGGCACAAGCTCAGTGCTCAATAAATTATTATTCTGCTTTCATAAATATGCATAAAGCACCTTGCAAAGACATACACCAAAATGTTAATGATGATCCCAGTAGGTGAGATTCTTCTTCTTCTTCCTCTCCCTCTCTCTTTCCTTTTGTTCTTTTGATTTATCTAGTCTTCAAGCTTTTCCACATGAAGCATGCATTCCTTATGTAATGGCATAAAGCAGGTTTCCTTCCTGCAAAACTGGCTTTAGTTAATCCTGGTGGCCTTTGGGGAGGACTAGAAAGTGTCCTGTAACCAGCCTCATTACCTATTCCCATATTCTGTTTCATTTTTTTAAACAGTATTTACTATTGTTAGATTTTTTAAAAAAACTATCTGTTAACACCAGAATAAAACTTCCTAGAGAACTGATTTTGAATTCTTTACTGCTAAGTACTCTATTGCCTAGGTGTTGCCTCACATATAATAAGTGGTCAACAAATGTTTGCTGAAAGAATATGGTAAATAAGTGTAATGATGTGAAAAAAATTAAAATTTAAAAAAGAGAAAGTATGCCAAAAGCCCAAAATATCTGTAGCTCAATCGACTTTGAGTCTTAATTGTCCCCTACTTGCTGTGTGTCCCTGGGCTAATCTGTCACCCACTCTGAGCTTGTTATCTCATCTGCTCAATGAAGGGTAAGGATGAAAAGATATCTAAGGTTTAACCTTCAAGGATTTTAAATACCAAAAAAAACCCCATGCATTTCTCTTAGTTTCTTGTAAAATTTTCCAAGGAAATAAAGCATTATAGACTATTTCTCGCCTTCCCACTCCCCTCTCTCCCACCCTAAGAAAATGCATAAAAGAAACTCTGAATTGTGGATTCACTGAAGATTGCCTTAGGCACATGGAGGAGAAAGACAAGTTGTGCGGGCCTTTCTAGGGCTGTCCCCAGAGCGAGCACAGGGGGCGGTTCACACTCTCAACCCCAAGGAATCTTCCCACTTCCCCAGAGTGGCCTGCCTGGTCCCCAGGTCCCTACCTGAGCGGTTGTGCAGCTCCCCGCCGTGCCTGCTCATGCCCCCTACCCCACTGGAGCCACCGGAGGAATGAGGCGAGTGATTGAAGTTTCCAGAATTGGCAGGAGAGGCTGGGCTTCTGGAGAGAGATGGAAACTTAACCGGCCTGATGGGAGTCTGCAAGAATAAGGCGGATATCGCAGTTAGGGTCTGCTGCTCACTCCTTTGGATGCACAGATCACAGTGGGGAGGGACCTGGAGTTCGGCTGGCCCATCCTGGCTGATGCTTGCATCCACCAGCACATCCCTGCCGACTGGTGCTCTGCCTGCTAGGGCCCCCGTGGGCTGGAAGTTCACTTCTATCCACTGACAACCCGACCAGCCATTAGCTCAAGCTGAGCCTCTGTGACACCGTTTCCCATCGGTCACCCACCTCCTTCCACGTGGGGAACTAACATAATCCCACTCTGTCCATTTTGAACACCTCCAGGCGCCAGGCCCCTGGTCTCCCACTAGTGACTTAGTATTACGACGTCCAGGGAGGCAGCAGCAAGCTCCGGAAATCAACCCATCTCACAGACAGAGACGGGGGCCTGAATTTCTCCAGGTGTTCAACACATAGCGGCAGGGCAGGTCCTAAATCCCTGTCCACACCTACTGTATCCACAGTGACGACAGTCTACATATATAGAGAGCAGCTCCCACCTGGAGAGGGACTACCTCAGTTCATTACAGAGACACACTGAGGGCCACCAGGTCAGAAACCACTGTGGCCAAAAGGACAGAAGTCGTACTCTTTCTGTGTGCAAGAGAACACCAGAAGCACACTCAGCTGCTCCCAGTGTTTGCACTTGGTCCTGGACCTGTGTACTAATGCAGTAAGTATGGAACTTGATTAGAGGCCAAGAACCTGGTGTCTGGTCCCAGCATCCTAGCCCCCATGCAGCTGGGTAACCTTCAGCAAGTGACTTCCCTTCTCTGGGTCCCAGTTTCCTCATCTACTAAAGGGAAGGGTGGGTTAGATCAGGTCTTCAAACTGTGTTCCTTGGAGCTCCAGGGTTCCAGAGAGCGGGGCTCCCATTTCACTCCACTCACTCCAACATTTTAATCTGCTTACATATTAAGTTCCTTTGTAGGGTTTCATTAGACAAAAGGATTTCACTCATTTAAAAGAAAATAAAAAGCTTCAACCCCTCTGGATTAGTGGGTCTGAGGTCTCTTCCGCCTGCAACACATCACAAGGTCAGTGAGCAGCAAGTGACGTGTCAAAGGGTGTCAGCGGAAGACTTACTGCGTCTGTGCTCCCGCTGCCCACGGGGTGACCCCTGCTGGCTCTCTGGGGCAGCACAGTCTTCATGGGGTCTGCCCTCCCGTTGTGACATGTTCGGGACCGTTCCGAGCTCCACAGCTCAAAGCTGGAAGGGGGTAAGAAAGGGGGGATGACTGCCTTCAGCTTGTCGCTCGGTAGTCTGGTGAAGGGGGCTCCATTCCGAAGCTGAAAAAGACAGGCTGTGGGTTAGGCAAGCCAGGTGGGCTCCTGGCTCTGGGAGGAAGATTCTGGGTTTCCCCTGCTTCTCAGAGAACAGCACCGCCACCTACCCCCACCCCTCTCACAAGCCAGAAACCCACGTGGTGTCCTCAGCTCTCCTCCCAGCAACCTAGCAATACCCACGTCTGCCCTGCTCCAAGTCCCAGCCTCTCTTGGATCTGTCCACAGGGGCAAGACTAGAACAGAGGCAGGGGCAGGGTGTGGAGCCACAGAGAAGCTGGGAGATGTTGGGTGTCCTGTGATGGGGGAGCAGAGGGGAGGGGCACCTGAGCTGAGCCCAAAGGCCAATGCAAGCTGGCTCGGAGAGGATGGGGGAAAGGGCACTGCAGACAAGGGAACAGAACATGGAAAGGCCTGGAGACAAGAAGAGCAGGACCAGTGTGCAGAATAACAAGGAGACCTGTGAGACCAGAGTCGGGGGTTTCAGGAGGAAGGGCAGGGGACAAAGGCACCGGAAGGCCTGGGCTGGCTCCCTGTGAGCCCAGAAAACCCTCCCTCCCCCTTCCCACCACATCCTTCCTATTCCAGTCACACCTCCCACTGCTGACATTTTTAACTGCAATTTAATTTTAAGTTTTGAAAATGTGATTTGGGGTCAGTATAAAATCTACACAATGATGACTGGTGGATCGTCAAGGAAAAGCTTTCACACAGTCCATGCTAACTTTAATTAAGAAAAGACACTGAACTTGGTGCCAGATGGTGCCTTGCAGGGAAGGGCATCCCACAGCTAACCCTGCCTCAGGAGCCGGGCAGGCGGGCATCTCCACAAGGATGGCTGTAAACGCCCACTCAGCAGAGCACCCTGGCCCTCCTCCATCTGCCAGGGTGCAGACGGGCACGCTGGTGCCCTCTACTGGGCACGAGGAGGCGGGACAGGAGAGCTCCAAGCCTGGAGGAATTCCATCCTGGGTTTCCCACCTGGCTCTGTCCTGCTTTTCTGAGTTCGTGAATAAGTGCCATCCCCTTCTGGACCTCAACAGGCTCATCTACATAAGGATTTTCATCAGAGCTGTTAAAATAATGAAAAACTAGGAAACCCAAAGTCCAGCAAGTCAGTCTTGGATGAAGAGATGAGGTCCCATGATGGAATGTTGCACCAGCCGTTATATGTGATGTGGCCAAAGAGAGTTTCTGATACAGAAAAGATGGTCATGACAAAATTTTAACACTCTAGGTTCAGCACAACATGAGGATGATAACAGTGCCTGACCTGGCATGGTTGTCAGGGATATTAAATGAGTGAATACAGGTAAAGTGCTGCAAATACTAAGTATTTGGCTGGTACATACTTAGTGCTGTGTTAAGCATTCGTTTATTAAATAAAACACGATATCGTATTCATAGATGCGAAAAACTGGTTAGGAAAAATACTCAAAAGATACATGTCACAAAATGTCAATTATGATTACACCTGGGTGTGTGATCATGGGTGATTTTCTTTTTCTTTATACTTTATTGCATCTTCCAAAATTTCAATAACAGTATTTCTGTCTTTATATTGAGAGTAATTATTGCTGTTTAATAACAGTGTCAAGTATCAGGCAGTACAAGTCCCACAGACAGTGCACAGACACCAATTCACACCTACTGCACTGCGGGATCCGCAGGTCCTGGGTCAGCTCAGTCCTTCCCCAGGTGCACCTCTGCTCTCTCCTCCTCTCCAATACTGCCCTCTCCTGGCCAGCCTCCAGATTAGGGCCTCAGAGCTAAAGGGACCTGAGTCCAACTCCAGCCAGGATACTCATTTCAGAGAGAGGAATGAAGCCCAGAGAGGTGAGGTGACACGTCCAAGGTCATATGGCAGGTAAGTGAGAGCTCATTCTGGGCGAGGCACTATGTTAAGAACTTCCTGGGGACAATCTCATTTAAAAACTATAACCATGAGGGATAGCATCCCCTAAGTCAGAGAAGGCTGGCTATCACCCAATATCCATCCTCCACATCTTTGTCAGCAGACACATCTGATATTTAGATGGGCACATGACCGCCCAGAATAAAGACTTCATTTCTCAGCCTCCTGTGCAGTATGAATGCGCCATGTGACTAAATTCTGGCCCATTATTACATTACATTACTATTACATTAGTAGGCAAAAGTGATGTGTGAGTTTCCAGGAAACTTCTTTAAAGACACCTGGCATGTGCCCATTGTCACCTCTTTTCCCATCATCTTTCCTACTGGCTGGAATGAGGCAGTAGTGGACAGAGCTCTGGCAGCCCTCTTGGACCAAGAGGTGACCTCAGTAGTAGAAGACACCTGGGAGACCAACAAGTAAAAGGAATCTAGGTCCCTAACTCTGTGGGGGCCAGTTCTGAACTTCCCTCACTTGAGAGAAATATGATGCTATCATACGTATGCCAGGTATTTGGGGATTTTCTGTTACTCGTAGCTGAACCTAACCCTGATACATCTCTAATTTATAGATGTGGAAACTGAGGCTTCTCTCAGGGTAGAAACACACTGTTCTCTTTGACTCTTCTCTCCTTGGCTCTCTGTAACCAATTCCTACCCCTACAAGGCCCCTGTCCTCAGTGCTGCTTCCCTGAGAACGTGATCAGGGCTTCCTTCTGGTTGCTAAGTACCAGCACAGCCTTACCCACAATTTGGGGCTGGCACCTGCTCTGATTCCTTGGTGCGAGAGATGTACCCCTTGTTACACGCTTCAGTTCTGACCCTATCCGTGACCACCACAAAGAAAGACAAATGCCCACATCTCTCCTTATAAATCAATCCACTAACGATTGGCAGAGACCTCAAATGCTTTTAGAAAAGCCCCACACTCACCATGGTTGTCAATAATACATCTTCTTTTTCTCCTCTTGTGCTCCCAGGACCTGAGAAACAAATGGAAGTTTCCTGAAATGAGTTCACGGTATGAGGATGAGTGACCAGCTCGGCCTTCATCCTGGAAAACCAACTCTCCTGAGTGATTAAATATTTAATAATAATTGGTATTCAATATTTGAATAGAAGGAAAGCATTTAAAAGGTATCTCAGAGACTGTTTTCAGCTTTTCCATAAACCACTGTCATGCTGGGTCAGACAGTGGTACACCCAGCTCAATAGTCTGTCTCAAACAGTGGTGCCAAAGAATCTCATCTGGGTGTGGGAGTCTGACTGTTAGAAGGGATCTGATCTAATCGATCTCCCAATCAGTGTGGGAATCTCCTTCAGTGCCCTGGCAAAGTCATCCAATCTGTTGAATACCTCCAGTGGTGGGGAGCTCACTTCCTTCACTCCAACCCCAGTAACTCACTCTATTTTAAAACACTGTCAGTGCCATACCAATAACATTTGGAAGGTAGGAAAATCACCTATTGAAGGCAAGAGAGAGGTAGTGACTGACCAATGGTCTCTCAACAGGGCATGTGGGACCGGGACCTGGGACTCTTACTACCAGCTTCTGCATTCTACCACATCGACAGCAGTTACATCCCTAAGTCTCTTCTTCACCAGATCAGTCACTCCACCCTAGTGTCACATTCCAACATCATCTCACCTCTGACATCAGCCCAGGAACTAGGACAAAGGGCAGAGGATGAGGGCAAAGAGGTCCAGGGTTTGACCATCCCGGAAATACTACCACACATGCAACTTTTCTTACCATTGTCTTTGGTCGGGGGAGTCACATCGGGGAGCCCAGAGCGGCTGGTCTTGTCTAGGGGGGCCGCCCTCATTGTGGAGTCCAGCGCTGGCTCTGTTTCATCACAGAAAGGCAATGGCTGGTTGCTGGACAGCCCACGGGGCAGGGTCTGCATCAGTTTGAGCTTCCGAAACCGATTGGACATTCGGTTCCACCAGGACTGCCAAGGGAGTGCAGAGCAGAGGTCACACCCTAAGTGCCCTTAGCTCAGGGATAATGACCACACTTCACACTTGCTTCCCGTCCCGTCTCCTTGGCCCATGGCAGGCATTACCAACTGACCACAGAACCCTTTCTCCAAAGCCATGGTTCTCTCTAGATTCTTCCTGACCAGCTCTTAGGGGACCTTTCCAATAGGCTGGAGGTGGCAGTGAACCCAACTGGCTAACCTTCTTCTAATCAATCTCCTCATTGCACAGACTGAATAATGGAGACCCAGGGGTGGTGACTTGCTCAAAGTCTTATGGTGAAACAGGGACAGACAGCTGGACACAGAGGCAACACCAAACACCTTAAAACATCCATGACTGCATAACCTCCTTCCCTTATTCCAGCAACAACGCGAGAGGTGTCAGGGTGTCCATACCAAGGCCTGACCATGTGCTCCCATAGCTGATGCCTCCCCACCTAGAGAGAGGACAGGCACCACCCCAGGGTGCCTTTATAACCCCACACAGTGAGGAGATCACCGGCACAGTGCCAACGGGAGGCTGTGAGGCCTTCAGAGATGGCAGTGATGGCGGGGATGAAGGGACCTATGCAAACAACACTGCGAGGAAGAATCCAAGGGCTTGCGTGAGCGATCGATATGAGCAGAATGTCAAGTCTGCAGATCTGAGAATGAGCTGGAACCCCAGGCAGGACGGGAAGAAAAATAAGTTTGATTTCAAACAAGTAGAGCAGGACTGGGAGGGTAAGAAATTCAAAGAGAAATATTCAGCTCGCAGTTTAGAAATAAGCAACTGGAGTTTGGTTTTAAAGTTTCCAGGGAGAAGCTGACAGGGGCCTGTGGCCCACAGAGAGAGCCTAGAATGGTGCAGCCAGCAGATACTTTCCACACTAAAGCACAGGCCGCTGACAGATGGCCTGGAAAGAGAGGTGCTCAAGTTTAGCCAGCTCAGTACTACATCATGCAAAAAACATTTTTTAATTCCCTACATTTATAAACTGAGTCTCCACATCAAAATCTAGATTTCTAGTTTCTCCTAAAAAAATGAGAAGATGTGGCAACAAGGACCCACATACTCTTAAAGTGGCCACTGCTGCCACTAAGTGTTTACAATCACCCCAGTTTTCCCTGGTCCCCACCATTCCTTATTGCTCACCTCCAGCTTACTTCTTGTCCCTGCTGGGTCCCCAACCCCGGCCTAAACCAGCCCTGGGCAACAAGGAAGAGGTAAGCATCGCCCCCCTGCCCCCATACTGGACCGGCTCTCTGAAGCCCTTTAAGACAGGAAAAGGCAAACCTTAAGTCCACCTTTGTCATCAGGCAGCACGGGGACACTCCAGGGCTGTCGGACCTTTGAGTGGGGTGGGGGTGGCGGGTGGCTGGGCCGGCCTTTGTCTTTATTCACCTGCATGCAGACAGATGCCAGCAGTCGAACAAGTTCCGTGTCTATGGACACAAAAGGCAGCGTTTTACCTGCAAATATGTCTGTCGGGCTGTGGGGTAGGGGGGCCCAAGGTGACACCCCTCAGTCTGAGAACTCAGCCCCGTGGCTCCGGAGCACATGTTACTCCCCTGCCTCTCCACTGGCTCTTCAAAAGGGGGCAGACAGGCCAGCAGGGCTTAACCCACTTAACCAAGAATAAACACCAGAAGCCCTGCCCTACCAGGAAGGCAGAGGGGCGGTGTGTCTAAGCAAGCATGGCCGAGGCGCGAATTCTGCCTCTGCTTCTCCCAGCCGTGTAACTGCAGGGAAGTTAAGGGGTGACCTCAGCACCCACCACATAAAGGTATCTGAGGGATCTGAGGGAACTCCTGACATACAGGAAGTGCTTAAGAAAGGTTAAGTAGCAATAGTTATTAAAACTCAACTAGGCTATTAAAAAAAGTAACAAACAAGATTGAGAAGAAAATACTACAAACTGTCAACATGCTTTTTCCTTGATTGTTCTTTTTTCTCTCCAAGTGTTCAATAATAAGCACGTGCTTCTTTGAAAATTTTAGGCAAAAACTTCATTTGAAAACCTACTAGGCAAAAAAGTCTATTGGGATAGATTGTTTTATTGGGAAAGGGAATGGGGGGGTGGGGGTGAAGGAGAAGAGACACAGGAAAAGAGATGAGCTTATCAGAGGAAAACGTGTGTGTGATGCAGCCCAGGGAGACTAATTCTGAGTGACATGAACTCTAGGCACAGGAGGAGCAAGACGACTGGACTTGGGTGGAGGGCCCACCTCTCTAGCCAGGTCCCAGGCACCTCCTCCCACAAGGGGGCGTGAAGCTCTGCTTCCCTCACTTGCTCTGCAAAGATGAAATGGAAGCGGTGTGTATCCGTGCCGCGTGGGGTCTGCGAGTGTAGGGAGGGCGGGAAAGCTGGCAGTGAGGAAGGGCGCTTGGTCTGCCACCCCGTAGCCAAGAGAGGCAGCAGGAGTCCCCCACTTGGGACTGTGCAGGTCAATGTCCTCTCTCCACGGCCAGCAGGCTGGGATCTGGCTCAGGGTTCAAAGCCTGTGGGTTGGGAAGGCCTCCCAGCTTCTCCCTCTCTCGAATGAAACTCCAGGGTCACAAGAGAGATGACAGAGACGCTCTGCCCCTTGAGCTGGCTAACTGGAAGCCTCAGGTCCCAGAGGAGGGCCTGTCACAGTGGGGGAGGGTCTGAGGGGAGCAGCAGGCGTCAGCTGGGGGCCAGGAATGGCCATACTCCCAGCAAAGGACCCTTGACCTGGAGCCTCCACCCACACAATTAAGCCAAGGGGGTCACTGCTTTGTCTGATTCGGCTTGTCAGAGGCGCCTGTTTCCCCTCTGAGTCGCTTGATTTCTGGCTGGGAAGCAGGGATACCATTCTAGGACCTGTGTGGACAACATTGCTGGCTTTCCCTCCAGGAGACTCCCAGAAGGCTGGAGCTGGGAGAGAGGCCTCAGGGACTACCTGGTCCCAGCTCCACCCTCCTTGGGAGGCAGGACAACTTGCCTGAGGCTGTGAGGTGAGCTCTCTGGGGCTGGAGAGTAGCTTCCCCCTTGAAGATGCAAGGGCTTAAAACACAGGTGATTATCTCAATTCCCAGCCAGAGAACTTGGCAGGTTTAAAACTCTTTTCCTGAAACAACCCACCAGGATCACTCAGCAGCATCACTAGGTCAAAGGCCGTGTACCCGTTTTTTGCACGAAGAGTGACATCAGCCCCTTGGTTTAGCAGATATTTGACAATTTCCTTATTCCTATGGAGGAAAGAAAAAGACAGAGTGAGACCCACTGAAAGGGGAAGTGTGGCTTTGCTCATGGGGAACAAGAGCAGTGGCTTTAACTGCAGCACCTTCTCCGCACATAAGAGGCTGGGAAAGCTGTCTTATAGCCCTTGTTCCCTACCCCTTGGGCTGCTGTGATGGAAATCAAAGCCCAAAGTGCTCCTTTCACGAACAAGATGAAACCCAAGGGCTCTGCCCAAAAACCACTGGCCCCCAGGACCTCCCACCCCATCAGAACCCCTGCAGCTCGAACACGAAGCCTCCCGCAAGCCAAGGAGTTTGATGTGGAAGTCTGAGGCTCGTCACATGAGGAAACAAAACACTTCAAGAGGATGCAGGAAAGTGCTCTGATCACCTGAATCCCTCATTTGGAATCAGATCACTTAGCGGGGTTAAGACGGTGTGCAGATCCCTGCCTCTTGGTCAGCCCACCCCAAAGAGGAGGCATCAAGGAGGGCAGTTGGGTGACTAGATAAGAAGGGGTTCAAGGCACCAGTCAACACTGACACTTAATCAAAATGAGGGTTAGGACAAGTCTCACTATTGGACAACGTCTCTGAGAAGCCAGTGGTATGAATGGCTGATGGTTATTTCCAGTGGGGAAAATTTAAAGGGGCCTCTGCACAACAATGTGAAACTCCAAAAGAACCAATCTCTCTGCTCGACCAAAATCAACCAACAGAAACATTTTTCAGTATCAAATCTTCCTGCTGCCTGGATTCTCACGGCCACTGGTGAAATTCTGTGCTGAGGTATCAGGAGATTTGAACACGGAGAGGAGGGGAACGCAGGACAGAATGAGCCTGTGCTGTTTTTAGTCTTTTTCGCATGTCTCAACATCTTCACAACCGTGGGGCTTATCTGGGGCACCTCAGGACCAGAAACCCATCAGGAACCCTATCTTAGCCGTGAGGGAGTGGAGCTGGCACTAACCCATGGTAGGTGGCCTGCATGAGGGCCGTCCAGCCGTGCACGCTGTCCTGCCTGTCAATGTCGGCATGCCTCTCCACCAGTAGCTGCACCAGAGGCAGCTGCCCCATGACAGCTGCCAGCATCAGTGGGGTCGCCCCATCCCCATTGACCAGGTTCACGTGGTTGGGGTCTTCGTCGGCAATCTCTTTGACCAACTGGAAGTTCCCTGCAAACAGAAGTAGGAGTCTTAAATAAACCACAGGTTTATTTACCCAGCAGTTTCATGTAACCAACGTGCTGTGCCTGCCTCTGCACTGGGCTGCCAGGCATCAAAGGGGCTACAAAGATGAGTCAGATGTAGCCCCCACTCAAACCCTTCAGTCTACAAGGGGTGGAGGCAAGCACACAAACAGCTTTACTTAAAGAGTGTCATTGACATCTTAAGAGAACAGTGATGATGAAGGGCAATGCACATGCAGAAGGAGAGCTCAGGGCTCCCTGGGAGGTGAGGATCAGGGAGGACTTCCTGGAGATGGAGTCTACTTCAGGAGAGGAAACTTTAGGCTAAATAGTTCTCCATTACAAAGAGAACGGAGTGGGTAGGTGAGCAGCCATGCATTCTAGAGGTGGATAAAAGCCACGACATCGCCAAAGGGTTTAGCTGGAGAGGTGGAGGGGGGTCTGAGAGAACAGTCTGGAACCTGTGTGTAAAGCACCATAGTAACTACTAGCCTCCAGGATCTGACCCTCCCTGGGTAAAACTACAGAGTCAGGAAACAACAAAATGCCTGTTTCTTTCTCAAATACTCTGGGCAGCCTTCAAAAGGACTATAAATATTAGGTTGGGAGACTATGGCGCTGTATTTTTAAATATCCAAAAAGATTTTCTAAAGCGCTTACCCATTTTCAATGCATGGAAAATATCAGGTCGCCTTTTCTCCTCATCTGGGTAAACAAAGATTTTAAAAGTTAACCACAGAAGGATTTAATAGAACAGAAAAGTCACAAGGTTGTAACCACTGAACTTGGCTTTAAAAATGATCTACTTCTCACAAGCAATCTCATCAGAGATCTACGTGACAGATGATTCCAGCAGCCCTTCTGGAAGGTTTACTGTCAGAGTGTCTGAAAATGTTTCGCAGACTGTGGGAGGTCATTTGGCCGAGGAAACATGAATGAGCAGACAATTTCCTGATCTCACAACTCATTAAGCAGTCATTTTTAGGTATTGCAAACACTGGGATGTCCTTTCTCAGATATAATGGAAAAGTATACTCTTGGAAAAATCTGGATTCCTATAAAAATTTTTAATGTGACAATGAATAGATGTATGTTTACGTATAAGTGAAAAATTGTGCTCTACACTGGAATTTGACACATAGTAAAATGACCATTACTCAATAAAAAAGTGTTTAAAAAATTTTTTAAAGGAATAATGATTCTTTTCTTCTAAAAAATAAACGTACAACAATGAAGTAATTCCAGAGCAGAGGACCCCAGAGACACTAAGCAGCTAAGCCCAGGGGAGGTCATGCTCGTGGCCACCAGAAGAGCCAATGTTAACATCTGCTTTCCTTCCCAAATAAGCAGCCATGTGAATGATTCTGATGCAGCTCCCTGCAGGCGGCTGCCCACCAGGTGTCTCCTGGGCCTTGCTGGCCCCTCCCTCATTGGCTCTTCCCGTCACTTTCCTTGAAGCTTGAGCTAGTGGGGACCCTGCTCCCTCCCATCAGAAAGCAGACATCCTTGAGACCAGTTTCCTCCCTGGTGCCTGAATATTGGACTTCCTTTGACTGAATCTGGGGGATGGAGCAAGAGGAAACCTGGGACCCTGGGGCCAAATTCCTGGTCCAGATCAGCCCCCTCAGGCAGCTGGGAGGAAGCTGCAGGTATGGCACAAGGAGCACTGAGTCTGGAGTCAGGGCGTCCAAATTTGAGTGCATGTTTCCAGAGTGATCTGTCTCCTCATGGCTGATATGGGGACACCACGCTAACATGGGGACCACGTGGTGGTTGCAGGGGTGGGTAATATAGGTGGAAAAATGCTTCAGAAAGTCTTAGGCTCTATTCAGAAGAGCAATTTTTGTTATCTTCCTAGACACTAGCACCCATCCCAGAAAGGGTGGTTAACGCCCGGGCTCTTCCAGGGAAGTATCGACAGGGCCATGGCACCAGGTGCCTAATTTTGCCTGTGAAGTACTATCAAGAAGTGATTCTGCATCTTGGTTTTAAAAAACAGGTCTTGTTCCCTTACGTGTTGAAGAAACTGGTTTGCTGTGGGCCAGGGCCTTCTCAGGCTGAGACCCTTTGATAGAAAAGAGCATGTCATCTGACCCTGGTGTTGGCTACTAAGCAACCATCTGGTACAGATGGATCACTGGCAGCCCAGTGTGGCCCCAGGAAGCTGGGGCAGCTGAGCCTGACGTCGAGTGACCCCTTCTCACTCCCCACTCCAGTGTTTGCATCTGTATCTGAGCAGCTCTGGGACCCACCACGGCCCAAGAAACAACTGCAGTGGGGGTGGGGAAGGTGTCACAATGACAGGTACAGCCTCAAGGGTGCCAGGTCCTGCAGCTAATGCCAGGGAGGGTGCTGGGGCCTCCGAGGCCATGGTGGAGGGCGGATACCCTGGCATCTGACAAAAAGAGCTGGGGGTGATGTTATTTAACAGTCTGTCATTATCAGTAACTCAGCCTTTGCCCTGGCTGCTGTCCCACATCAGCTCCTGAAAGTCAGCTGAACTCTCACCTCCCCAAGGGGGCCCCCCAGCCGCCCTGGTTCACATGGTGGCCTGCATCACCCCAGCCCCACTGCTCCCAGACCCTCACCTCGCCCCTGTTGGTTTTCTTTCCCCCTCACAGTACTTACCACCTACCACACTACATAATTTATTGTATTTAATATGCTTATTTCCTGTTTCTGGCCTGTCTCCTCTATAGAGGCTAAGGTCCTTACGGGCAGGGATGGGGTCTGATTTGTTCACTGCTGCCTACAACAGTGCCTGGTACATAGTAGGGACCCAACAAATACTTGCAGAATAACGGAATGGACGCATGGTCAATAAAAATACATCCAGTAGCTTCCATTCACTGAGCACTGTCTATGCACCAGGCACTGGGGCACACATTTCACAGGCATTATTTTATTATTGTTCACAGAACCTCACAAGATAAGTGCATTTATTCCGGCTGTTTTATGAAAGAGGACACTGGAGCCCCGGAGGGACAATGAACACACCCAAGGCCATTCAGCCTCCAAGTTGGGGAGCTGAGCCTCACACCCAGGTCTGCTCAGTGGAGAAGTCTGCTGGGAACTGAGACCGATCCCGTCAAATATGACAACAGGGAAAGGGTGACGGCAGCTGCCAGCATCTCTCCCACGCTCCCTCTGGGCTAGGATGAGGCGGGGGTATCCCCGTCCCCAACTTAGGGACAATGAAATGGGAGGCTGGTGAGGGCAGGCAACTGGCCCCACGCCCCTCGGCTGCACAGGCAAAGCAGGGTTGATCCAGGTAGAGGGTGACCCTGGGCATACCCACCACCATGTCTGAGATGAGGAAATCACCTTCCCAGGGTGCCAGGCCAATCCCTAAGAGGCACGTGGGGAGCTAAGACCCCAGCATCCAGGTGGGGCACAAGTCATGAACTGTACACTTCCAGGCGGAGGCCTTGAGCAAGTTGCTCAGCGCAGACTTCCCTCACCCGCAACATGGGTGAGCACCGGGAAGTGAGGTAAGGGTCTGCATGTCATGCGTGTGGGCTTTGCAAGCCAGTTCTCTTCTCCATCCCAGCTACAAACACAAATGTACGAACGCGTTTAAAGGAGGGCAACAGCCCTGGGTCAAGGAATAGACCCTGAATGAGACCTGAGCCCTAATTTCTAACTGCAACTCTTCCCCAGGACCTAACAAGGATCAGCTACGTTCTGCGCCAAGGGCCTCACAAGCCAGAAGCCAACATATCTTCTGCTCAGGGCCACCTGGTAGTCGTCATTAACCCCATTTTACATGCGAAGCAAACAAAAGTTCACAAGAGTTACAAGCGTGCCCAGCTCCCAGAGGCCCTACAAGTGCTGGAAATGGGCAGGCTCACATGCCAGTGCTCTTCCTCACCTTCTGTCACTCAGCTTCTAACAGGTGTGTGACCTTTGACTAGCCTCTCTTCCTCTCTGGACTTCAGTTTCCCAATCTGCACAAAGAGGTCTCCCAGCTTCAGAGAGGTTTTCCTAAACTTTACTTCTTTTTCCTTTCTGTTTCAGTGTCCTGGTCATTTTTGCCATCTCTGTCATTACATGGTTTTTCAACATGTTTATTTTAGAGTTGTTCTGACCAGACAGTGTGTTTCTAAAAAGCATTTCCCAAATGTGCAGCATCTTTTGATTGATGGGATTTTTAATTGGCCATTTGAATTTTTTTTAATTGATTTACAGGACTATTGCATATTCTTTGGATGGTATGAAACTTTTCAACACTTTCAAGTCTTTTGGGCCAATTTGTCTGAAGACCTACACTTTCTTTCAATTTTTACCTTTCAGCCCCAGATGCTCATATGCTGCAGCCCAACCTTACAGCCTGGGCTGTCTCAGTCCCGCCACTGAAATCAGACCCATCGCAGACAGAGCCCCGAGGCAGTGTGTGACTCTGCATTTCATGGCTCTACTGCACATGATGAACTAGAGGTTTAGAAACATGGTATGTCCTGTGGCAGATCTGGATTGTTTGACATCCCTTAAATGCCAGAAAGATGGCAAAAAGGAAAAAGAAACAGGATGCTCTAATAGATGTTGAAAAAACACAACTCGAAAGTGCGCTAAATTTTATATTAATTAGTCTCTGAGGACTGGTCATTGGCAGCTGAGGTCAGGCACACTGTTCTAGAGCAGGGGTTGGCAAACCACAGTCCTGGGCCAATCTGCCCCTACGCCTGTTTTGAGAATTACAGTTTTCCCGGAACACAGCCCCACCCGCTCATTGACATATTACGTAGGCTGCTTTCACTTTAGCAGAACTGAGTGGTTTCCACAGAGACTGCACGGCCCACAAAGCCTAAAATATTTATTATCTGGCCCTTTACAGAAAAAGTTTGCAGATCCCTATCCTAGAAGGATCCCAGAACCTCCTGCATCAGAATCATCTGATTAGGAAGGAGGGGACTTGCTAGATGGGCTTCCAGGCTCTTCTGAGAACTACCAAATCACTCTCTGGAGGGCAGGCCGGGAATAGCGTGGCGCAGCACTCCCACCTGATTCTTTCACACGGCACATCTTAAGTCCCACTGCCCCGCAGGCTGGACTCGGACTGTCACATGCCCTTCTACTTGGGCAACCCTTGGCTTTCGCCATTTAAACATAATTTGTGAAGCCATGGAGGGGGTGGGGTAGGTTAGTGGTGGCACAGCCTGACCTGTCTTGGGCCTGACGGTGGTGAGCGGGTCGAGGTAGTCCGCAAGGTCCCTGTGCTTGCAGTCAAGGGCAACCTCGAAGGCAGTCTTCTCCAGCACGCTGAGGTGGTCAGGGTTGGCCCCCTTCTCCACCAGCTGCTGGGCCACACCAAGCCTCCCAGTGAGTGCCGACAGCATCAGCGGGCTCCAGCCCACGGTCCGGGCCGTGTGGTTGGGGTCTGCACCCCACTCCATCAGCAGACGCACTGCAGCCTCATGACCATGGTGGATGGCAGCCATCAGGGCCGTGATGTCCAGTAGCTCATCCCTGCTGTCCCCTGCCTGCTCGCCTGAGGGTTTGTGATGGTCCACGAAGGCACCAGCTTCCAGAAGCAGCTTCACCACACCCAGGTGGCCACCCCGGGAGGCCACAGTCAGCACACTGGCTCCCAGCCGGTTCTGGGCATTGACGTCAGCCCCGTGATCCAAGAGGAGGTGTGCCACGCTCACGTGACCAAATCTGCCAGGAAGATGGAGAATCAGCAAGAAGACAGTTAAGGTAATCAATAAGAAGACAGTTCGGGTAATTACAATTATAATTATTAATCATTAAGTTATTAATTATTGAATCGTTCATTATTAAAATTGTAATAGCTGCTTACAATGAAAAGTCTTCTTCTGGAGCCAGGCACTGTGCTGGCCCCGCATATGCACCATCACAAAGGTGAGCCCCTGCCCTGTCTAGTTCCCAACACACCAGCTGCATGACCTGGAGAAAGAACTTTGGTGTCTTGGTGCCTTCATTTCCTCATCTCTAAAGCGGGGATGTAATTATATCTATTTTAAAGGCTACTAAGGATTAAATGAGTTAACATGTATAAACATATAATACATATAAGCATCTAGGACAGTGCTTGGCCAAAGGAAGCGCCACATAAACGTTAGCTATGATTGTCATAATCATTAAACACTTTATATTACACAGTGTGCCAAGGTCAGTGACAGGGTCAGAACCCAGGTCTGTCCAAATCCTGCCTGCCCTCCCACTTACCCCCACACCACGCTCCTTTCCTACATCTCAGGGAGATAAACTGACTCTGCTTCAGTGCCCGGTAAGGTAAGCTGCCTTTCTGCCTGTGCTCTGATCCCTCACGGGCAGGACCCATGTCTGACTCATGTCCCTCCTCAGCCCCAAACCACATGCACAGAAGGTCCTCTGAGATGAGACAGCTGACCCCCTGCCAAGAGGAGTGGCATAGCTGTGGTCAGCAGAGAGGTGCTGGGACACCTCTGGCTAGAGGCCTGCTGCCGCCTGCTGGCTGGAATGTCCCCTGCTGGTGGCTGAGAATCTGGCCTGAGCTAAACTCTTCCTGTGTAGCCTGAGCTGGGACACTGAGGAGACAGACAGCACCCACCAACTCTAATACCAGGAAGAGGAAAACAGATGCCTCTTCCCAGCAAAATCTCTTCCTTCTTTTGCCGCCAGAGGGCAGAAGAGTTCTGTTTTGCAGTGTTTTCCTGTTGGTGCACTCTTTCTGGGCTCAGAAATGTAAGGAGCCTTAGACTAAAAGGAAAAAAAACAAGAGAGGGGCTGGCGGTGCCAGCTTTTACAGGACCATAACGCCTGCATGACGCCTGCACCTGCAATCAATCTCTTGTTGCGCTCCCCTCCTCTCTGGAAGCAGGCTTCGTCCCTCATCTAAAATCCCAGGGCCTCCCTCCTTTCTGTGGAACCAGAGCCAAGGCTGAACTCTGGTCTGAACTTACAAATACCTTCTGGGACATGAACCTTAACAGTACCGGGTCAGTTGGCCTGTGGAGCGTGGTGTGAGAGCTTCGTAAATTGGCTCCCCCAGCTGCAGGGGGACTGGCCTGTCCAGCCTCTTCTCCAAGAGCAGACAGAATGCAAGTCAGATGGAAATAAACTCAAATGCAGATAGCTGCAACCCCAACCTGTCTCCCTACCTTGTTTCTTCCTGCCCCTCCTCCACGCTAATATTCCCCAAACATAAATCTGATGGTCAATGTTCCCACTGTTCGGCAGGAAGGCCTGCCAACTTTGTCAACCTCGTTTCCTCCCAACTCCCACGCTGTACCTGGCCATGCTCACCAGCACTCACCAATTACACTCCTCCCACGCCACTGCCATCCTGCCTTTCCCACCACAGTACCCTCCTGTCCTTGTCTACGAAGCACACCCTTTATCCTGCTGCAGGATTCAGCTTAGATCTCGCCTCCTCTGAGCAGCTTCCAGACCAGCCCCCACACCAGTTCAGGTGCCCCTCGCTTGAGCACCCGCAATTCCTGTCCTCACCCCTACTGATGGACCAGAGTCCTCCTTCTATAACTGTGTCTCCCTGTTAGACTGTGCCCTCTCCAAAGACAGGACCGGGTGGCTGACCCACAGTGGAGCTCAGTAAATTCTGTCAAATGAATAAGTGAATAAACAATTGGCATAACCAAGTAGAGGATGGTCCAGAGACAGGCCATGGAAGCAGCTGAAGAACTGGTATATCCTCCACTGGAGCAGACAACTCGAAAAGACTACACTTTCAGCCATCAAGCATGAGATTAAAATCTAGCATAATCCCTAACAGCAGATAATAGGGGTACTGTCATGTTTTTATTTCACAGGATCTTTTTTTTTTAATTTTAATTTTTTCATTGAAGTACACTTGATTTACAATGTTTCAGGTATACAGCAAAGTGATTCGGTTATATATCAATATATAGAGATATAGATATATATTCTTTTTCAGATTCTTTTCCATTTTAAGTGATTACAAGATATTGAATATAGTTCCCTGTGCTATACAGTAGGCCCTTGTTGTTTATTTTATATATATTAGTGTGTCTGTTAATCTTAAATTCCAAATTTATCCCTTCCTCCTTACCCCTTTGGTAACCATAAGTTTGCTTTCTATATCTGTG